TAATGAACGAAAAGCTTGTGGTTGGCCGGGCCCGTGTCAGTATTTGGCCCGGGCGCTCGCTAGCTGTGCTAGTGCTGCTAGTCCCCCGCTATGCCACGATCGGTACGTACACTATTCCCTCCTGAGGCGATAAACGTCCCGGGGGTCGTCCTTCCCGCGCGACGGTCTGCCCTTCCATTGGAGTCATTGGAGACGGGACCTGGCAGCAGGTGGACTGACGGCGCAAGGCAGTGGCGACCTGTTGTTGTTCCTGCATTTGCTGGCTGAGGTGCGTGCTCTTGCCTTGCCGTGAGTGTTTGCTGTGGGCGGGTGCTGTGTGCAGGACGGGACGGCAAGGGAAGGGAAGCTGCTGCTGTGCCTGCCTTCCTTCTTGTCACTGGCTCCTGCCGCCAGCTGCGTCCACCACTTGCACTTGCACTGCCTTCCCGTCATTAATTCAGACGAACACCATCGATTTGTGCATCTCCAGTTTTTCTCTCTTGCAAAATTGCTTCAATTCCTCAGCAGCCTCGCTCACCTGAAAACGACATCAAACTTCTGATTACCTCCGTCTTCTTGCCCAGGCCCCCACGCCATGGCCCCCAAGTGTCATTTTACCCTTCGCACCCGCCCAGCGCAATGAATTTGCGTACCCATCCACCACTCATTGTGAGACGCCGACATCTTGGAGTCCCGTCCGACTCCCCTCCACCCTCCCCTCTCCTCCCGAGAGCCCAATGTCACCAGAATCCTACCTTACCATCCACAGTCCAACCTCCGAATACTGACTCACCAGCCTCCGCCATCCACGCCCGCTCTCACCTCCGAACCGACGCTCGGACCTGCTGAGGTTGGAATGCGCGATATCCGATGCCACCCAAGGCCTTTGGGATGTGTTCGTGCGCCTTGGAAACACTCCAATAGCGTTCGAGAAGCTTTCAACCATTGCCTCGCCGCATCACACGTGCCTCGGCCGCAGAGGGTGGCCCAACGTCGCACGCTACTTCTTGCTGGCTGGCTGGCTGGCTGCTGAGTGTGTGTTTTGTCGGCCTTTTGCCAGTCGTCGACTGACTCCCCGGCTCTATTCGGCGACATTCTTATCAGCGCGGCGTCGCATCGTTTTCGCGTTCGCGCAATCGCCCTTTTAAAATATCCCCATCGACCTGATACCTCGACAGACGCCTCCTCCAGGATTCCTGTCCCGGGAAGATGGAACATGCGGCCAGTGCACCACAAAGTTGAAACATTCCTTCGCCTTCGATCTGTTTTGGCAATGGGGGGGACGCGCCCAAACGAGGAGGGAGAGCTACGGGCGGGGAAAGATGGGTGCTCCCTTCGTTCGTCTCTGTCCGCCGCCGCCGCCGCCGCCGGCTCCGATCTTCTTTGGGGCACATAAACCATAGCTCGCCTCCGAACGAAGCGCCGAAATGACGCTGTCGCCGCATCCACCCCGCCATCACCGATCGGACTGTGGCTCCATGGGTTCACGGCCTTCAAATCTCGCACGCTGTTCCACCCTATCCGTACCTAAGGTACCTTGCGCTCTCGGACGTTCACCCCGCCCCCTTTTACGCCGACGGAGAGCTTTCATCGCAGCTTGACACCAGCGCCAGCAGGCATTCCCTGACTTTGCCGCAACACTAACCATCACCACCATCTTCGAATGAGGTCTGGTAACCTGCTACCGCTGATTGCGCTGTCCCGTACCGTCGAACGGCATTTCCGATTAGTCTGGCAGGCCCCGATCAGGCGGAAGATAATCTGCAAATCTGACAGTGTACTTGCTGTTGCCATTGACAACGCTTCGATAGACTGACTGCCAATGCTCGGTTCGTACCGCCCACGTGGCGCTGGCGTGGCGCAAAATCTCCTGCCATGCCACGGATACCTTCACGATAATCTGCCACAATTCCCCCATCGGGCCTGATCAACGCCCGCCGTCCGCAAGACTATGGACTTTGTCGAACCATTCATTCATCGCGCCTCCGAGGTGTTCGGGTGATACGCCTCGCTAACCCACATCATCGGGTTTTTTCTTCTTCCACACGGGTGGTCTGCCGTTCGATCCGCTTGCTCGTCATCTCATGTCTCCTTCATTGTGCAGCATCTCGTGCGACTTTGAAGGTGTCATAAAAAACTCGCTTAAGTGTGAACCACCTCGGCCACCAAAACTTCCGCTAGACGACCGAACCACATTGCGGTCTGTGAACAGGCCAATGTATGTGGGCATTCGTCATCACCCTTTTCTCATCTGCTGCCAAGACGACTGTGGAAAACTTCCTTAAGTTCTTGCGGCGCAGCGATCCTGGTGTAAATCCACGTGTAGTTGCCGCCTGTTTATCTTGGTTTTTGACTTTCGGCCGATTCAGATGATGGGCGCGGCACTCTGATCCAATCGCATCCCCGTGATTCAACGTCAATCTTGCATGCTGGTAATTACACGTTTATCTTGCAGCATCTCATACCAGCAGTGGCACGTGGTCGTCTAGATTATCTGCCTGAGCACTGCTGCACATCAACGTGAAGCATCTTAGTCTCAGTCGCCCCTTCTTTACAGGCTCCCTCGCGACTAGACATACTTAGAATTATGAACTCAGCCTTGTCCAACAGCTCTACCTCACCACTCCCGCACGTGTTGACATTGTTGTCGACGGCCCAGTCTCGTCCTCCAGAGCATGGTTATCGTAGACAACAAGATGAGGAGGCCCTCCGCGGTACCACGCAAGGTGAGGCGCGAAGAGATTGCTGGCTTTTATAGTATCACGAGTTGAGGTGTATGCTGCCTTTTCACTGGACCACACAGTCAGGTAGGCTCTTGAGACATTACGGTATGGAGCAACTATGTCTTAGTAAACCGCGACAGCGCTGTTTGGAATAGAGCTTGTCATCTTTTGAGAATGACTTGAACTAGCCTGACGGACAGACGCAGGATGGCGCCCCAACATTGATGTTGAGAGTACACGTGGGGGCTCCTGCGACTGACTATATGCTCCTACTATACTTCAGCGGTTGGGACAGGAGATGATCGTATATCACAAAAGCTTGTGGGAGTCTTCATAGTCCCCAATTCGTGGCCATCCTTTTCTTTCAAATAGTCAATCACGATATGAGACATCGATTGCATTGCAGCCATGAAGATCTATTACACACTGAATCTATCCCATTTCCTTCGTAATAGCCGCGATCTACAAATATCCATAGCGCCGTCGAATTCCTACTCCCAGCGCAAAGACCAGATAGTTTTGCTACTGCAACGGCTTAAAACGCGAGGTCCCTGACTCTCGAGTAAAGGGAGAGAGTCAGAGGCCCCACGTTTCGAACCGTGGGTTGCAGATGCAAAGTGAAAAAATGAAGAGAAAAAAGAAGAAGCAGAGCTTCAAGTCCCAAAAATTTGTGCAAGCATGCGTGACACTCACCAAAGGGGGCTAGGGAACCTCCGAGATATAGCTGCTGACCCGAGTCGAACCGATATCCTGTTGCATCAGTAAGAAAGACAAAAGAAAAGTAGAACAGAACAAAACAAAACAGCAAGGGAAAACGGCAAGGAAAGATAGCAAGGAAAGACAGCAAAGAAAGATAGAAAGAAAAAAACAGCAAGGAAAAACAGCAAGGAAAGACAACAAGGAAAGACAGAAAAGGAAGACAGAAAAGGAAGACAGAAAAGGAAGACAGAAAAGGAAGACAGAAAAGGAAGACAGAAAAGAAAAACACAACAGCAAAGACAGCGATGCAATAGGATATTGGTTCGGCCGAGGACAGTAGGCATATCTCGAAGGTTTCGTAGCCCACTTCGGTGGTGTCAGGCTATGCTGCGTATGAAGAAAGGAGAGAGATTTCGATTTAGTCTTGATGCTCGGGGAGGTTTATATAGATACCAAGGGGGAGGGAGTATGAGCCGGGAACGGTTTCGGTGGCAGAAACATGAACCTGTACAGACCCTTTTGCCTTCCATTTCCATTTTGGATTGATGAGTCTATACCGTAAAGGTTGTAGCTTCTAATGCATCCAGTCCTGTTACCACCCACAAGGTGCCCGAGCATAAGACCTCAAAGGTCACCGGGAACCAATTATTTAAATGAAGCACTCGTTTCAAAAACCACAAAGGTTACCTCGAAAAAGGAATTTATGACTTGGCCATATATGTTATTGCTAGACCAATATGAACCTTTTTAATACCAAATACCTGTGTGTCCGCAAAACAACTCTTACTTGGCTCGAGACATAACTATTCGGAACCACGGAAAAAATGAAGTGTCTTCATTCATAAACGCAACAAGGTTGCGACACAAGGTACGAAACGGCCAAACCCCATCCCCTTCTGCGAGAAGCCAACAAGCCGATGCATCATGCACAGCGACGGAAGAAAGAACGATGGTATCGTGTCGTTCCGATTCAAAAAACGAAAGGCTGTCGTTTGTGAGAGGCGAATTGTCCGCTGCTGGACGAAGAACCAGTTGTGGTCAATATTAGGCCTGAGTCGCGAGCAATATGCATACGTGCGTGCCTAATGTAGCGGCCTGGCAGCGTTTCAAGCCCTTACATCGCGGGCATGCCTTCACAACTGTTAACAACTTTGCGGCGATTTGAAGGAGCTGCAACAACGTACCGTCTGGAGGCAAGCTTGGATTTGTCGGCCTCGATCGCCCAAGTGTTGTCCTGAATCGCCTGAGCGTCGTTGTCGACCCACGCGGAGCCAGGGACAGGAACTCCCGGAGTTGCGGGTGCGCCGTTGTTCCTGTAGGGGTGAATACCGGCGGAGGCGAAGCCGGCGCATGCAGTGACCGCCATGACGAGAGTGGTGAAACGCATTTTGTATGGTAGAACGTTGATAATCGAGTTGAAGGTTCGTTGTTGGTCGTTCGGTCTATGGCTAGAGGAGTTGTTAGAGAAAGGTGGAGGGAATGGGAAAGATCGGAGGTAGGTGCGCCGGAGCCTCTTTTAAACCAAAGACACGTAAATAGTAAGGTTTATTATATATGGCTTCTCGCCATAAAACGCCCTTGATAGATATCTAGAATCGCTTAAAGCTTTGACTTGACACCACCGCCAACCTCAACCTCGGCGGCCAGCGGGACATTACCCAGAGCCCTTTCGCCCTTGCTACCCTCCATCAAGACATTGTATGGCTTTTCATCGGCCTTGATTTGCCTCCACTTCCACAGTTTGGGCGGAATCTGGTCCTGTCCCTTCCCCTCGACCGCGTCCACCACCCAGTTGCCAATGTTAGGAAGGTACTTGAAAGCGTGTCCGCTGCCGCCCGTTGCCACCATCAGTGACTCGTCCGTGCCGGGCACGTGGTCGATGACAAAGTGGTTGTCGTAGCTATCCGTGTACCAGCAGATCCTCGAGAACGAAATATCGATACCCGCCTCGCCCAGCTCCGGAAGGTTTTCCGCCAGAAAGGCTCGGATGACCTTGAGAGCCTGTTGTGGTACCGTCTTGATCCGCTCGTCGCCACTACCCGCGACAGATGACCACCGCGTGACAGGCACGCTGCGCTCTTTGCCGTCGCCCTGGACAACAGGGTTGGTGTACTTTGTCCCGCGGTACCCGATCTTGAGCCAGCCGTTCTCGTCGCGCGGGAAGCCGTACAGCCCGCCCTCGGCGCCGTCGCGGATCTTGTAGGTGAAGGTGGGGAAGTTCTCGGGCGCGAAGCGGTCGAAGAGGGGCGACTCGCGGGGGATCTTGAGGAGCACGACGGAGCCGGCTGTGGTCTCGCAGAGGCCGTCCATGGAGGGCAGCAGGGACGGGGTCCAGCCGCCGCAGGCGAGGATGGTTAGCTTTGCGGCGTGCGTCTTGCCGTCGCGGGTCTTGATGCCTGCGACCTTGTTGTCCGCATAGACGAGAGACTCCAGCGCGCCGGCTTCAGGGTCGAGGATGAGGTTGACGCCCTGAGAGGCGGCCTTGTGGAGGGCGAAGCGGCAGGCTTTGTCGGCTACGGCCATGCCTCCGGTGGTGTCGAGGACGCCGGCTGCCTTCATGCCACGTTTGAGGCGGCGGAAGGGGTCCATGCCGAAGGCGAAGCCCTTTTCTTCGGCGATCTTTTGGTGGGCGGGGGAGATTGTGATGAGTTGGGTGTTCTTGTGACCTGCTGCTTCCATGTTGTCGACGGTGTCTTGCTCGAATTGAGGCAGAGATGCCGAGTCTGAAGCGGAGAGGTTGCCATTGTTGACGAACACTCGGTCTGTGGTTTTGAGGCCGGGTGGGAGAGTCTTTCCCGTGACTAACTCTTCGTTCCACGCGTTCCAGCCCTCAAGAGCTTCAATTGTAAGGCCTTGGTACTCTGTTTGAGATCCGTATGCTGAGCGGATGATTTTGTTCATATCTGAACGGCTGTTAGTTGATGGTTCAGAACACCGGACATATGGACTTGCCTGCTGAAGCGCCATCGCACCCGTTGAAATATGAGTACAGTGACTTGTGGTATGGCTGTTTATCAAAGACTGTCACGTTTGTGTAGCCGCGGCGGGAGAGGTGCACCGCGGTGCTTAGTCCGAAGATGCCTGCGCCAACGATGATGATGGCATCATTTTTCTTTGGTGGGGGCGCCATGATTGATGTTTACGGCCAGCGTCTATTCGTGGGGCGGGACTAGGATTATGAAGATAAAAAAGTGAGGCTGTTTCCGCTCAGCTTCCTCCAAAGCTCATGCACGAGTCTTGTAACCGAACTCAGTCGAGAGGAGCGTGCGTGGATGAGCAGCAACTACTGAGACAAATGGTCTTCAATGAGCTTGGCTTAACAACAACCTAGCCTGCTGATGGCGGCGAGAAGAGACCGAATATCCGGACCTGCGTCCAATCAAGCACTTCGGATTCTAATCAGGCCCATTAACGCGGCTGCAACGCGTATGGCACGATATTTCGGGTTCCGCCGTAGCACCACAGCAACGTGGTCGGCCGGTCGGGGTTCGCAACGGACAAGGGCAACAATGCGGGGGAGGCGGGGATCCTATTGCGGATTGAACCCCCAACGAGCGTTTTGGTAGTGAATATGTCAGTGATTCATGTAATCTCCGACTGAGACTAGCAGAGCATGTTCTCGGGAGGTAGCGAGGTGAATGTGAAGAGAAACAAAGAAAGCATAATGAGACTACCTCGATATCATATGTAAACTGTTAGACAATCCCTACATGCAACGGCCCGGCGAGTGGAGTTCCCTCCGCTTCGTTATCTGTCCGGCGTCACTATCAGAGATACTTCACCCTCTAACGCACACTACCGTGTTGTTGCCGGAGACCAACCCTTGTCCTGCCTCCTCGCTAACGCCGTCGAGGTCCGGTCCCGGCAGCTGATAAACTGCACCCCGCCCCTCATTTCATCGCGGCCTTGGTCCCCCCTGCTCGGATTGTCCCGGATAAGGGTCCAGGGGGCTTCTGGTTGGCGCACCCAGTCAACCGGTGCAGAGCGCGTGTTACTCAAGTGAATTATGGCGAGGAGAAGAGAGCACGGTTCACTTTGAGGGGAAGATTCTTATCTCCCAAGGGGCTTGGCTCGCGTGAGGGCCTACGCCAACGCCCAAAGGGGGTTGAGCAGAATGGAAGTATCCGCGCAAGCACGTTTTCCCTGCTCTACCCCAGATTTTCCAGCATGCAACTACGAGGACCGACGAACCTGACAGCCGGGTCTCTCTTCTCCTCGGTTGGGACGAAAAGCAGCGTTCTGGATGGGGAGCTGGGGCCCGTCTTTGTTGCTTTAGTCTTGGCTTGCTGATAACGTCCGCCTGACCGATAGACAGGACAGAACATTATGTCGACTTGTCGATCTGCATTATACATATCCTGCCTTCCTCCTCTTGCATCTCTTGACGATACACCCCGGTGATTGGTTGCGACTCCACGGTTGAGTCTCAGAGTTGTATCGGTGCTCCCGTCTATCTTTCTCCAAAAAACGAAACACACGAGCGGGTTTAGGCGTGATTGCAAGTGTCACCGCATCCATCAAGATGGCCATCAAAGAGGTCTTCACCGAGTCGACTTTCGCCAAGTACATCAAGGCAATCCGAGAGTCCCCTAGGGAGCTCATCGCGAACCGCAACCTTCTTCTCACGGCTGCCCTCTATGCCACGAGTGGCATTCCCATCAGTAAGTCACCTTCAACATCCCTCATCCAACCGGGAACAGCTCTAACGTAATGGACAGCATGGGACCAAGGCTCATCATCCGTCGTACCCTCACTTCCGGGCTTCCAACAAGACTTTGGCATCACCTCAGCCACAAACCCTACACAAGTCTCCAACTTCATCTCCTTCGTCTACATCGGAGCCGGCATAGGCGCCGGCCTCTCCTTCTTCCTCAATGACCGTATCGGACGCATGTGGTCTTACCGCCTCTACATGAGCATCTGGATCCTTGGACAAATCATCGCCTCGGTCTCCTTTGGTCACCTCGGCGCCCTCTACACGGCCCGCATAGTCTCCGGCCTGGGCATTGGCGCCTTGACGGTCACCGGACCCGTCAGCATCGTCGAGATCGCCCCCACAGAGATCCGCGGCCTCTTAGCCGTCTGGTTCAGCGTGGCCATGCTTCTATCCCTGACCGTCTCCGTCTTCATCGTCTACGCAAGCTTCGTCCACGTCGCCGTCGGCCGGATGCAGTACCAGCTCGTCTTCTTCGCCCCGACAATCGTCATGGCGATCCTGATCGCGCTAAGTTTCTTCCTGTACGAGAGCCCCCGCTGGTTGTTCATCGCCAGACGCGACGATGAAGGAATCAGCAACTTGATCACCCTGCGAGGCCTCCCCGCCAGTCATCCCCGTGTGGCTCACGAAATTGAAGACATCAAGATCCAGATCGCCAAGGAGGAACAGAAATTTGGACGGAACCCTGGCGTGTTGGTTCTGATGAAGGACGCTTTCCTTGTGCCCACGAACCTGCGACGCGTTCAGCAGTGTGTGCTGTCATACGCTCTCGCGCAGTTGTCTGGAGCGAACAGTGTCACTTCCTACCTCGTCCCCATCCTTGCCATGGTGGGCGTCAGTGGAGGTACCTCGCGAAGCTTGTTCCTCAGCGGCATGTATAGCATGGCCAAGTTCTTCTTCACTCTGATTGCAAGCTTCTTCTTCATCGACGCCCTCGGTCGGCGCCGCAGCTTGTTCACTGGAATTTCCATCCAGATGATCTCTGATCTGTACCTTGGTGTTTTCATAAAGTATCGTCAAGAAGGAACAGTTGCCCCTGGTTCAAGCGAGGCGGCTATTGCAGCCATCTTCATTCATGGCTTCGGCTATGCCGTTGGTAAGACATTCCCAGCGTAACGTAACAGGCCTTTATTAACCCCTTCCAGGCCTGCTTGTTCTACCCTACGTCTTCGGCGCTGAACTATGGCCCAATCACCTCCGGTCTTTCGGCAGCGCCTTCTCCCAACTCTTCCACTGGTTGTTCTTCTTCGGCGTCAACAAGGGCATGCCTTCGTTGCTCAGCCAGACGCACAATTGGGGTGCCTTTATCTTCTTCGCGGGATGGTGCTTTCTCTCACTGGTTTATGTCTACTGTGTTGTCCCCGAAACGTCTCAGCAGAGCTTGGAGCAGTTGGATGAGCTGTTCAAGGGCCCATGGTGGAATGTCAACCGCAGGGCCAAGCAGATGAAATTGCAAGCCCAGGCAGCCGTAATTGATGCCCAAGAGTCCATGTTAGTATTCAACTCTCCAGATCAAGAATGCAAGCTAATCGGTATAACTCAGCAGCGAGTCTGATTCCAACGTGGCGAAGGACAAGTCACAAGCCGTTGCCCAGAAGGTCTAGATCCGCATAAACTCTGCGAGGCTACCGACTGTACACATGCATAATCTGGGCCTACAGAGGGCTTCTAGATATACTCTCAGATATAGTAACAACACGTGAAATCCCAAAACTCGGCCATTGTGATAGCCTAGTCCACGAATTTTGAAAAGAGCCGGGCTCCCGAATCACAGTTCTCAAGTGCAAAGGTACGAGTCTATAGGTCAACATACTCATTTATAAGGTTTCGGGGTTTGCGACACTCAAAAGTCACAACCAGGTAGTAAAGGCGGTGGTTATAGTGCCCAGTTTTTTTGCTGTGTCGCGACGTCAGATTTACTAGTCACACCCAGCAATGATCTACTTACGATGGAGTATCTTCACGGTAACAGATGCAAAGAGGTGACGATCATCTAGACTTTTCATTAAGCATGTCGTTTACTAATAGAAGTCCTAATCCCTTCGAATGAAAGAAGCCCCGAGGCTGCTCGTCCAGCCTTTCATGTATGCGGCCCCAGCTATCGCTGCTCTATGTACCTGTGTGAATGCGAATTAGGGAAATTGATCAACTGGAGAGCTTCTCAGCCTTCCTTTTAGTGATGTCAATAACAGGCGAATTAGGCTTGCCCGTCTTGAAAAGCGCCCTGATGTTTTCAAAGCATTCCCTCTCCGCCTTCTGGAACGCCATATCCGTCAGACCTCCGAGATGGGGCTGTGCGATAACATTCTCGTGGTTCAACAGCTCGAGGTCAGGGTTGGGCTCGTCACAGAAGACGTCCAGGCCGGCCCGCGCAACCTTGCCGGACTCAAGCGCGTCCTTCAGAGCCTTCTCGTTGATGACGGGACCGCGCGCGGTGTTGACGACGAAAACGCCATCCTTCATGGCAGCGAACTCGTCGGGGCCAATGAGGCCTGTTGTCTGGTCGTTGAGAGGGCAGTTGAGCGACACAATATCTGACTGCCCGAGAAGCTCGTGGAGGGAGCTGCAGTATGTCGCGTTGTATTTGGCCTCTTCTTCCGCGGGTAGCTGATGTCTGTTGTAGTACTTAATCTTGAGGTTGAAAACCGCCGCCTTCTTCGCCAGGTACTGCGGACAGAGGATGTTAGACATTGTGCAACTCCGTGACTCGATCGCGGATGACACCAACCTTTCCAATGGCTCCCATTCCCACAATACCCAGGGTCAGCCCAGAAGGATCCCTTCCAGGCACGAGACCAGGCGCAGCCCTCCACGTGCCCGCGCGGGCGCTTCTCTCTGCGTTGCTCGTGTTGCGCAGCACCGCCAGCGTCAGGAACATGGCCATATCAGCCGTCGCCTCAGCGACGGCATCGACGGTGTTGCAGAACCACATGTTCTCGGACGCCATCCACTCGACGTCGAACTCGTTGAATCCCGCGCTGGCGGAAGTGATGATCTTGCAGTTGGGCACAAGCGCGCTGAGCAAGCCCTCGTCAAAGGGCTCGTAGGGCGGGGTGCCCATGCGGATGATGAAGGCGTCGATGGGGCCGTCTTTCTTGATGGATTCGGGGAGCATGGCTATCGTCTCGGCGCGATTGGTGGCTTCGAGGACGGAGTAGTCGAACTCGGTCTTGAAGTCGGCGAGGTAGTCATCGCCGACGAACTTGGGAGTGCCGAGGGCGACGACGCGGGGCTTCTTGGAGCCGGTCTCGTCTATGCGCGTGGGAGCCATTGTGAACAAACTTGTGATGGAATGGAAATGATGGTGATGCGATTCAACAGCAAGAAAAAGATGAAGAACAGATCACAGAAACTGCTAGATGGCGCAAGTTAAGACGCGGGGCAGAAATATGGCGGGGTACAAAAGTTGGGATGCGACGCGCGCTCCAGACAGCATAGAATATTAGCAATAGCTTTGGGCAGCTTTAGAAATAGCTGCGAAACGTATGTCCCGGGAATAGCGAATAATTCTTGCTCTCGACACACCCATTTGCCATCAAATTAGGCAAGTCGCGTGGCATAACAGCATCCGGTTCGTCCCTTTCTTGCTTTGCTCCGGTGGGCGGCCGATGAACGGAGGGATGAAGCTAGGTCGGATTCTCCCGAGCAGGGGTGTCCCACACGGTGACATTGCTGGCGTCGTGCTCGGGAAGAGCCGAGTCTAGGGGATGTTGGCCGGAGCCACTTCATTTTGTCGTCTTTCTGTTACGTATTTGATGCGGGGGAAGTCTGTGTGTGTAGCACTGTTTACGGCATCTGCTCAGGTGATTGCATTTTGAATATCTTATGTCTGGATTATTGCTGGGATTATTGATCAGTTGAAACTCGATGAGGCCCACGAGTAAGATTCATTGAGTGGGACTTTGCGGGGGGCCAACACTGCAATTGAAGCGACAGCTGCCGTGCTGCGAGTTGGATGCCCCAGACTATAACGACGGCACTTTGCGAGACTCTGCAACACCAAGGGCTGAACATTCCGCGACTCAAATCATTTCGACATGGCCGATTTTGCGGACCCGGATGCTCTCCCTCCCCTGGGCTTCATCTCCATCGACCTAGACATCCACCGTCCCCCGGGCGACCCATACAATGAGAAGACGTGGCCGTTCCCGCTGATTCGTGAGATGGCTGAAGGGTCCAAAGTGTCGCAGGTTGTCAGTTCTGATCAATATGACTCTGCCTTCATCGACCGATTTGTCGACGCGGGTCTTCGGTTGGCGGCGCGGGGATGTGTGGGGATCATCACCAGCTGTGGCTTCTTGGCCATGGCGCAAGCCGAGTGAGTTTTGTGAACTCCGATTGAGTTGGAGGGTTTCAATGTTAACGATGTCCCAAGTCTCGCTGCAAGGTTGCCCATTCCAATAGCAACCTCGTCTCTGGCACAACTGCCCTCAGTCTTGGCCCTGTTGCCGCCAGATAGCTGTGTTGGCGTTCTAACATACGATGAGACGAAGCTTGGGCCGAAGCATTTAGCCAGTTTTGTACCTGATTCTTGGATGTCGAGAGTAATAGTCCGTGGAGTTCCTCCAGGTGGTCATCTGCGAAACATTATTAGGGAGAACGGCGCACCCTACGTCCATGCCGATATTGAGGCGGAGTTGGTGGATACTGCGAAAGAATTGATCAAGAGTCGACCAGAAATAAGGGCGGTGGTGTTAGAGTGCACGAATATGCCACCATCATCCAAAGCAATTCATGCTGGACTTGGAGGGAAGATACCAGTGTACGACGTATATACTATGGGGAGATGGTTCTATTCGGGCTTGGTACGACAGACACCGCCGGGTTGGGTGGTATGAATTAGGTTTTAATTGTTCATTCTCAAAGACCGAGGTACTTCATTATCTAGGAATGTATATAGAGCAACGAGTATTCGTGAGCCTCATACTATTGCCGCAGTGTTTGTTAAAGTACCTAAGACAACGAAGTAATGATAACTTGAGGTTGCAACTCAGCGAACGCTTCATATAACGTCGAGTCAACATCAGATCGTGGCCCCTTTCTTGGGTCCCTCGCCACACGGAACGAAATGGATGATTGCATCATGAAGCTTGCGTTTGTATCTGAATAGGGGTATTTACAACAGGAAGTCGCCGCCAGACTCCTTCAAGATCAACTGGTACTCCGGAACGAACTGCATGTACATGACTTCAGGTGTCCCGGTACCGTCCTTGGTGTACTGGGCCTCCTCATCATCGACCAAAGTCTTGTTCAGACCACTTGCGGCACCATTGCTTCCAGGCGCAATGGCGGACTCAATCAGAAGCTGCGATTGACAGGCACGCTCAAGAGCGATGAAGAATGCAGCGGCCTCGCCGATCGTGCCACCGCAAGTAAGAAGGCCATGGTTCTGGAGAATGAGGTTCTTGTTCGTGGGGCCAAGGTTGTCGGCGATGCGCTGGCCTTCTTCCTTGGCGAGCACGACACCCCCGAATGAGGGGTACACGGAGAGATCGTTGTAGAACATGCAGGAGTCTTGACAATGAGATTAGCAAGCGACGAGGTAGGTGATGGCTTGAGTCCTGACCTTGATTCAGCATCTCGATTGGTCTGCCGAAAGTGCTCCATGCCCGACCATAGGGGCTGTGCATGTGGCAGGCAGCGTTGATGTCCGGTCGCCTCTTGTGCAGGGCCGAGTGGATCATGAAGCCGGCCGTGTTCACGGGCTTATCGGCGCCGCCCAGACGGTTGCCGTCCTCATCAATGTGGACCATGTCCGACACCTTGAGAACGCCGAAATGCACTCCATACGGATTGATCCAGAACGTCTCTGGTCTTACGGGGTCTTCGCCAGCGTGTTAGTCGACGAAGGCTTGTGTTTCCCTTGGCACACATACCTCTGAGACTGATGTGCCCACTGCTACCGTCCGAGAAGCCCAGCTTTGCAAAGATGCGGAAGGCAGCGGCCATCTGTTCCAGCTGCCATTGACGTGCGGCCTCTTTCGACTCCGGGACGGGGATCTGATGGAGTCTCTTCACCTTGCCTGTCGACTTTCCCGAGTCCAGCGCCGAGGCCGGAGCCGGTGCGGGGGCCGGGGCGGGAGTAGGTTCCGTTGCGCTGGGCGACATTTTTGTGTGGAATGTGACGGTGAAGACAGGGTCAGAGTTGCTTCAAAGAGCCTGGCCTTGCGCCTGTTTTCTCAAGGTCCGATTTATTGAAATCGCTGAAGCCTCAATTCTGAAATGCAGACGATGTGCCGCTGAATGATGTCTACTCCGCACAATCGAACCCTCGTGTTGGATGGCACGGATAAGCAAATAGATGTCGCCATCCTCGGAAACCCCCGACCCCGCCGCCGCCGCCACTAACCGTCATTCCTGGCTGCACGCCCCCCTCACAATGCCTTATCCATGTCCGGGATGGAGAAGCCCCGCACCTCCATATCAACGTAATCCTGCTTTGGGCTTATCGGCAGCACCCGGTGAAGGGATTGGTAGGTGTCCCGCGATGACCTCGGTGACGGCACGATTCGGAAGCCGGCTTCCAGCTGAGGTGAGCGAAGCAGCGAGTGTTGATGTGGGTTCAGTCGGCTCAAGGCTCGGGAGGAACCATGGGCGTCATGTGAAACTTGTTGACACCTTCCGAACTGATCGTATGACCGAGAGCACTGCAAGAAACATGGGACGGCTGCGCTTTGAAGCTTTGTTCGATCTTATAAGGGAACAAGAAGCGGCCGTCTTATCTGAATAGCGTCCAATTTATCAACTATAACATCACCTTTCCGTTGGGCGTGAGAAGTTGCGCCATTCCACGCGCCAGTATATTATTTAAGAGAAACCTGCCGCATCTAATCATGTCTTCCGGTCTGCTCTCCGCATCCCGTGCCGTGCCTCCGGGACAGCCGGGGCCGGATGCCGCCTACGTCGACCCCGACACACTCCGCACCACCTTTGCCCTCGCAATGTCTACTATGTACAAGGCCGAAGTTCCCCTCTATGGCGACCTCATCCAAATCGTCCAGAAAGTCAACAGAGATGCACAGGCAAGAAAGCTTGAGGGCCTCGAAGGCTCCGCAACGATGGATGCTAGCATCGACCGTCTTACACTTGAGAGACATGGTGCCATTCGTCTTGGAACACCCGAAGAACTACACACCGTCCGCCGCATATTTAACCTTCTCGGCATGCACGCGGTCGGCTACTATGACCTGTCCGTTGCGGGATTGCCGATGCATGCAACATGCTTCCGTCCAACATTGCCTGAGTCTTTAGAGCGCAACCCGTTCCGCGTCTTCACAACACTTCTCCGCCCGGAGCTTTTGAAATCTGGTTCTGCACGAGGCGTAGCACTGAACCTTCTCAAGAGACGAAACATCTTTAGCGACGCCCTCATTGACCTCCTCGATATCGCCGAGTCTAGACAAGAAGGTCGCTTAACCCCTGAGCAGGGAGAGCGGTTCGTCATCGAGGCTCTGCGCACATTCAGCTGGCAGCCTTTGGCTGCAGCGACACATGAAGAGTATGCTCTTCTTCGCGACGAACACCCGATTTTGGCGGACATTGCCTGCTTTCGGTCATCACACATCAACCACCTCACACCTCGCGCCCTCGATATTGCCGCCGCCCAAGAGGCAATGCTTGCAGCTGGCATGGCCGTGAAGAGCCGGATTGAGGGTCCACCACCGAGGAAATGCCCCATTCTCTTGAGGCAAACCAGCTTTCTAGCACTGCAAGAGGGAATCCAATTCGCTGTTTCTGGACGAGATGAGTTCGTCGACGGATTCCACAAAGCGAGGTTCGGTGAGATTGAAGAGAGAGGCGCTGCTGTCACACCTGCAGGCAGGAAACTGTACGACGAGCTTCTCGACGAGGCCATGGCGAAAGCACAAAAAAGTGGCAAGGTTGAACCATCTGGTGTAGATCAAGTTTTCAAGGAGACTTTCGAGAAGTTCCCTGACGATTGGGACGAGCTGCGTCGCCGCGGCCTTGTTTACTCGGAGTATAAATGCGCCGAGGGTGCTCGGGAAAAGCTAGCTGGCATTCCGAACCTTGAAATCGTCGACCCAACCTCCTTACTTGACCAGCTTGTCTCTGCTGGAGTACTGGAGGCTCTTCCAATTACCTATGAAGACTTTCTTCCGTTCTCGGCCGCTGGCATCTTTCAGTCCAACCTTCAATCCAGTACCAGCACCAGCGACTCGGCCATGGATGAGGAGGACGCAGCAAAACCAGACTTACACGGTTACGAGAAAGCTTTGAAATGTCATGTGTTGGATGCAAACGAATTATATGCTCAGGCGCAGCGCAGTAGTTTGAAGAGGTGCGCCGAAGAGTTGGGTCTTAGTCTTCAGGACGTTTCTAGGTTTCTATAGGTGGAGTGCATCTTTCACTTGTGAAGCCGAGGACTTGGTGTACTCTTAGATCCTTTCATTTATATTCAGCGTTAGCCAAATGGCTTATTTGTGATATTTCTTTTGCTTTCCTTGGGGCTTAAACCCGCCAGTTAAAGTAGCATGCAATAACTATCGGAAGGTGGGAGCAGCCTATCACAACCACACCCGACACTCCCCGGCACACTATGACAGCAGCGACTGGATGGTCATGATGCAGTTGGCAGAACTCGGAGGAGCCCCACTTGCCTGTAGGTGCGCATTCCCGAGCATCTCCTCATCAATGCATGCAGAAGGGTTCTAGATACATCGGACATGTAAAACCGAGACGCAGAGATGATCATCATGACGAATGACGTGGCAGAGCGGGTGTGATTTTACCCGGCACGATGATCTTGAGCTACCTAGCGCAAGGCACGTTGCCGGTAGATCAAAAGGATGTAACAAGAGCTAGCTAGAAGGCACCACATTGCCTATCTAGTAGGAATCCTCAGGTTATCGAATCCAAATGAAGATGATGTCGAAACTCCCTTTCCGCAACAAATGGGCAATAGCCACAGTATCTCTTGGCAAGCATTCATCGCATACACTTGAGCGAAAGATAGAAGCCGCTGCTGGCTGCGGGTTCTCTGGCATAGAGCTCGTGCATGCCGACCTCCTCCACCATGCCACGTCAAACGGTCTTCCTCTGGAATCTGCTAGACATATCAAGAATCTCTGCATGTCGCGGAATCTTGAGATTCTCAGCCTGAATCCCCTGAAGAATTTCGAAGGAAACCTTAGTACACCGTTGGAAGAACGACTGCGCGTTGCCAGCGACTGGATCAACCTTGCTGTGGCAGCCGGTGCAAAGTTCGTCCAACTGCCATCGCAGTTTCTCCAGCATTCGACAAACGATGATAGTGTGATCATACCAGAGCTGCAAGCTTTGGCCGATCTTGCAGGCCAGAGTCAGGTCAGCATCGCATACGAACCAGTCGCCTTCGCTGCCTTTCACGCCACATGGCAAGATGGCCTCCGTGTTGTCAAATGTGTTGACAGACCCAACTTCAAACTCTGCCTCGACTCTTTCCACATCCATAGTCGTCTGTGGGGCGACCCCTACGCTCGTAATGGTCAACTTCCAAACGGCGAGACAGAAATGGCTGAATCAATGGCGAAATTCCTCAAACAAGCTCCTAAAGACCATTTATGCTATTTGCAACTGTCGGGTGGCTCTCGGTTCGACCCCCCTTTAACAGATAATTCTCTCCTGTTTGACGGTCTGGAGGTCAAAGATGCACGCCTGGCATGGTCGCGGAGCGCTAGGCCTTTCCCTCTGGAAGAGCCTGGCTACTTTCCTGTGGTCGAGATTATGAGGACATGGGCGGTGGATTACGGATGGGACGGTTGGTTCTCTGTGGAAGGCTTTCTGAAAGAGACGGAGTTGGAAGCAAATGGTCCAGAGGTCATGGCTGAGAGAGCAAGACGTTCAATTCAGGCACTGTATGAGAAGGTGCATTCAGCTGCCTAGTATCAAGAATCAAGATGGATCGATAAAATTCAATCATAAAAATCTCTTCTGCCACTGATGCTCTCTCAAAGAAGGGAACGAATCTAGATTCAAACTGCTGGTCAGAGGGCAAGTGCCTTGAGCATAATATCAGAGCTCCTAAAAACTGACACAACCTCCGTCAATCTTCAAGAAGCCCCCAGTCATAAACTTGGAGTCATCGCTAGCTAAGAACGCCACGACACCCGAAATATCATCAGTCTCGGCGTATCTTCCTAACGGCATACCCTTTCTCAACTCCTCCATCTTTTCTGGGCTCCAAGATGCCTTGAACATTGGTGTGTTAATGCCGCTGGGATGAATGGTGTTTACACGGATGCCCAGCGGCCCGAGTTCTGATGCTGCCGTGAGAGCAAGCCCCCGCAACGCGAACTTTGAGCTCGAGTAGACTATCAATCCTGGGGTGCCTCTCAGACCGGCTATTGACGACGTCAAGATAATGCTTCCTCCAGTGCCCAAATCCTTCATGGCTTTGGCAGTGTGCTTGATGCCCAGAAATGCTGCTATTGTCAGAAAGATGCAAATATCACCAGGCTGTGGAGATATAGGATACATACCAGACTTGACATTGACCTGCATGATTCGATCGTAGGTTTCTTCGGTTGTATCGAAGATGCTCGTGGATGTATAGCTCACTCCGGCGTTGAGAAATGCGCAATCCAAACGTTGAAAATGACTGGCAATCTTTGTTGTATACTGCTCGACAGCCTTCTCAGAAGTGACATCGGCCGTGACTGTCAATATGCGATTTTCAATCGTTTCCCCGGGTATGTAGACCTTGAGCTGCGAGACGGCGCGCTCGAGGGCATCTGAGCTAATGTCCACGAGGCCAAGATTCGCAACCTCCTGCAACAGCCGTGCAGCGGTTTCCAATCCGATAGAGCCACCTGCGCCTGTCACCAATACAACCTTTCCCAGCAGGCGTTGCGACGGAAGATGTGTGGCTGCTGCTTCTTTGGGTAGATTTTCCTCCATGTTGGGCAGTGGTCTGGAGCAAGCCGGATACGGCGTTCAGTGATATGGAAGGAGTTTGATAGGAGCTTGGACGACAGGAGGCTACTGTGGCCGATACAGGATTCCCAAAGACAAGACCTCTTTCTTTCTCGCCATCAAGTAATGCAAGGAGGATAATGATTCAAGCGGGGTGCTTCTCCGCATCGTCAAAGGAATCCAACCCCTCACGGATATAAGTTCTGAAGGAACGGAAATTAGATCCCGAGTACTAACGGTCTCATGTTTGACGGGGTTGAACAGACGATCCATGAGTTTTCGTATCACAAGCGATGCGAGCGACATCGACGCTGTGTGGGAGTGCGTCGGTTGTAAACCTGGATAGATCCCCGATACTCCCGGTACTCAACAAAGAGGCTGGGTGTACGGACTGCAGCAGAACCAGAAGTGTGTTGTAGACTTGGGGTTACTGAGGATAGAATGTGGAGAATCCAACATCTCGATATGAGCCAATAACAAACATTGCAATCCTTTGACCGTAAACCAAAGTCGCCGTGAGTTGTTGAAGCCCCTGTGTCTCCCCACGGGGTATCGTTCTAACCCCGCAATTCCCTTGCTATCCCCATGCAGAAACACGCAGGTGAACAGGGAGATTGGATAAGTGTTTCCCCACAGATCCATGGTAGGTATTGCAACTGCCGCCGCTCTACCGGTTTCGATACCCCTGAACTGCAGAGCACCAGGCGTGAGAAATCGTAGAAGCCTTCCAGTTATAAATGGATAAAAGGATCCCAAGTTTCCCGATGTGCTTGCACCATATCTACGCCTTTATTTGTTCAGTGCTTGAGAGAATCTATCCTCTTGTAGGCTAGAATACACAAAATGAAAAACATCTTTTCGCTGCAAGATGACCCGGGGTCAGACACCCCGAAAGAAGTCTACGGATATCGGCCTTACCTTCTGGCCTTTTCAGCGTCATGGGTGAGAAACCTTTCGAACGCAGGCGTCACAGATGAAGCCAGTGTAACTAATGGATGGCTAATTACACAGGCTTCGGCAATGTACGGCTATGACTCAGCCTTCATCGGTGGCACGATCAATCTTCCGTCTTTCCAAAGGGCATACGGTTTAGGAAACAGTTCGGCTGACCAAATCGCCAATCTCTCGTCCAACATTGTTTCAATATTCCAAGCTGGCGCCTTCTTTGGGTGTATCGCTGGCTTCTTTTCCGCCGAAAGGTTTGGGCGGAAGCCCGTTATCTTGGGCTCAGCTTTTGTCTTCATTATCGGCGTGGTGTTGCAATTGATCGGGAAGATTGGTCTTCTGTGTGAGATAACCTGCTCGATTTCCGATTATTATTTGTTGCTAACGATGCTCGCTGTAGACGGCGGCCGAGCTTTGACTGGACTCGCTATTGGAGCTTCTTCGACATTGATCCCGGTCTACATCGCGGAGTGCTCAACAGCCCTGATCCGTGGCAGGCTTGTCGGCATCTTCGAAATCATGCTGCAGACAGCGCTTGTGTTTGGCTTTTGGGTCAATTATGGCGTGGCACAGAATATCTCTTCACAGGGAAACACGCAATGGCACGTGCCGGTGGCCGTACAGTTTGTCCCTGCCGGCTTGCTCCTCATCACCATGCCCTTGTTCTGCTCCGAGTCTCCAAGATGGCTCGTTACTAAAAACAGAAAGACGCAAGCACAAAAGGCTCTGTGTTGGATACGAAATCTGCCTGAGGAACACGAGTTCATCAGCCGTGAGATCAAGCAGATTGAAGTCAGCATCACTCTCGAGACCGAGGCCAACGGCGGGGAACAGTTCACGTGGAAAGTATTCCGAGAACTTCTTGTTCCTGGTATCAGGTGGCGTGTGTCCATCGGTGCCCTGCTCATGGTACTTCAGAATCTTACTGGCATTAATGCCATCAACTACTACAGTCCAACCATCTTGCGTTCAATTGGCTTCAGCGGAACTGATGTTGGCCTCCTGGCGACCGGGGTTTACGGCATAGTCAAGATGATGACGACACTTGTTTTCATGATGTTCTTCGTCGACAAGTTCGGCAGACGACCAGCCATTCTAATTGGAGCTATTGGGGCAATGGTTGCCATGTTCTATTTGGCGGGCTACTCCGCGTTGTCCGGCTCATTCGAAGGTACAGCTTCAGCAGATGCCGGGGCTCGCACTGCCCTGGCTATGATTTACATTTACGCCATTTTCTACGGCTTCAGCTGGAATGGAATTCCGTGGATCTTCGCCTCCGAGGTGCTGCCCAACCGAGTCCGCACGCTTGGCATGATGATTGCGGTTTGCGCACAGTGGTTGGCGCAGTTCATCGTTGTGTACAGCCTTCCACATATGATCAATAAGATAACCTGGGGAACCTTTCTTTTCTTTGGGGCGTGCACGGTGGTTGCGTTCATCTTTGCGTTCCTGTTTGTTCCGGAGATCAAAGGTGTCCCGTTGGAGGATATGGACATGTTGCTGGGAGCTGATGCGCCTCTATTTGCCAGAGCGGCTCGCAGGAGGTACTTGGAGGCACGAGATGCTGGATTGAGCAGCCTAGTTCTTCATATGTCTCAAGAGAAGGAACAGGTGGAGCAGGAACATGTTGAGGGTGAACAGGTCTAGAGGAAATGGTAATATGGTGCGGCGATCGCCGGATGACTGATCCGAATCTCTTCTTTAGAATTCTCTTACCCCTTGTAGTAAGTTAAGCTGTTGTACCAACCACTCCGACTCTTGAGGTATAGCCATGGGATCTAAGTCATTGATCCAGTCTTGCATGCCAGAGGGACTGGTGCCACTCATTGGAACATGACTGTCCATGCTTGGCCCCGGGCCGATCGCTGGTAGTGATGTGGGTCCTGGTTTATGCCCGTCGTTGCAGACCATGGTGATTGTTCGTTGTGACAATGTCTCGAAGATATCGCGGTAAGATGTCGCCAAATTCCACCGTTCGGCGATGATGATCAGAACAGTCGTACAAGCCATACAGGTCGTCACAACATCGGCCTGTCGAATAGAGTCTCGGACGCGTTTCGACCTCCAGAGGCAGTAGAGATATGTGAGTCCACCGAGAAACAGAATATGAAGGCTTCCCCAGGTGAACTGAACGGAAGAGCTTTGGTACACCCGGCGATAGAGAAGACACATCTCTCGTGCACGAACCGCACACTCTTCTAACGCCCTCTCAGTTGCCTCGATATCATTAACATTGGTTGAGTCGTTGCAGTTAGCAGGGGTATGGCTACCCGGAAGTGCCATCATGTAGTGTCGATACAGAAGCAGGATGGAGTGATCATAAGCCAGCTGAAACCACGATCTTGACGTGAAGACAGATAGCGGATGAGACACCGAGTAGTCTAGTTGGTCGGGTGTGTTGACGCGCCATTCATCTAACTCTTGGCGAAGGCTTTCGACGGTTGCCCTCTGACCACAATGATTTCCGCAGCGCCGTATCGACGGTGGATAAAGATTGTCGCTAATCTTTGTCCACAATCGTCGAAGCTTAATGGCATGAACGAAGCCCGTCATTAGTGTTGGCGGACCAGTCGGGTTTGTACGGGGGTTGGCCATCAGACCTCCCGATGTAATGTTTTCGTCGTCCATGTCAAGTGGCAGCTAGGGAAGTGCTTTGTCAGACTTTGTGATACATATTTAAGCTTCTGGTATGTACGGCTTACCTCGACATCAATAGAGTCATCAGGAATACCAACTGGCCGACCAAGGGTGAAAGCCACAACTCTGTCGATATCATAGGCCACCCAGAAGCATCTCTTGGACATTTCCTTCGTAAGAGCGTCCGTGTTTTTATGATACTTCTCTGCACTTCGATGATACCCAAGCTCAATGCAATGGCGGATAGCCATACCAGAAACCTTCCTATGGTGACAGCCAGTCAGCTTCAAGCAAAGGGGAGGAGACTCTGACCATTCACGAACCATAAGCTGACGCCAACTGGCGACCTGATGGAGTAAACCGCACAAGACAGGATAGCCTGTATTGACTCGAGGCTATCGAGATCTAAAACAGCTGCAATGTGGTCTAGCGCCATCGAATAGTAAGCTTCGGCAGCATCGTAATGACTCTGGCCGAGTACAAGAGAACCAATCGCATAAACCTAGTGTTGATGTAAGCATAGGAGGAATCGAAGTGTTGATGAAAAGCTTACCATCAATACGAAAAACAAAGAAACGCCGCTGACGCTACTGAGATCACCTTCAAGACTCGCTTTCAAGCAGCTCTCTTCCCAAATTTGGAACGTTGGCTTGTGAAGAAAGGGGTATTGAGGGTGAATATTGTTGAAGTAAGCCTGAGAAAGATTGGCTCTTAAGGTGGGCGACGGCAGCCGCAACGGAACTTCGCGAGGCACCTCAGAGCCAGGCCCTTTTGCACGACCCGCATGGCTATGTTGTGAACTACCACCTCTACTTGCAAGACCCATGGTCGCGCTCACAATTCGCGAGAAAGAGACCGCGGAAGATGGCCCGAAGTAATGAGGCTCCCTGCCAGCGGCGCTGAGACAGAGCAAAGCAACTTCCGAGGAGAGCATGTCGACATGGTGATCATCAGCATCTATTGAGGGTGCACGCAGTGCTCGGGAGAAGTCCACGTCCTCGAAAGAAGACTGCTCAGGTAGGGCTGGGAAAGCGGTTGGCATGTGCATGATAGGCATAGGTTGACTTGTCGAGCCTGTAGGGGGCGGGGCCGAGTGATCGGCATCGTGACCCTCGTTGGAACCGAAGTGGTCGAGAGCCACTTCGGGCCGGACCTGTTGCAAGAGACCTTCCAGATAAGCTACACGGGCCTCAAGGGACTTCATGTAGTCGCGCGGGCGGTGTAAGCCGGTCCCTGGATCTTCGACTAGGCAGTCTTTGTGACAGTCAGCCGAACCTGCTCATGTGCCATCGAGGTCTCTTTGAGGGTCTTACCTCTTCCTGTTCTGACGCAGTTCTGGCACTTGGGGCTTTGTCCATCGCACTACGAATGTTAGAAGAACCTAAGGAAACAGGGTGCAGCTTAGGTTGATGAACCTTCAGTTTCTTTTGCTTGCAGCCGATACATGCCAACATCGTTCGCTCGCCGAGCCGCGGGCGCTTTGCCGTGTGTGTGCTGGCCCTCTGGCTGCTCATTGTGAAATGCAGGGTGAAAGTTCCAGCCAGCAGCAAGGTAAGGTCTCCCGATCAGATCTCCAATGTGGAGAAAGTCAGATATCGCGTGCCTTTGAGCGAGAATCAACGGCTGCGAGTCACCTCTGATCCGATATCGTGGAGTCCGGGGGAATGTGTCAGCAGCGTTTAATCTGGCTGATAAGGGGGGTAACAGTGCTCAATGCGCCCATCTCCCCGCGGGCACGCTACCATTATCAAGTGCGGAGACGGTGGAGAGATTCTCCCTACAGTGGTCGTAGCACTATCGGGACTTTCCTGCAGCCTCGGATGACACATTTTATCAGGCAAGTAACCATTGTTAGTGCACTCGGAGGACCCGTTAATCTACCGCTGCCATCCCGGCCGGCATCGGAGGAGTGGGCCGAGGTACGCCGACATCAGCTGTTCAAGAACCGTTGATGTTCTATGTCGGACTTTTGCCCCGAAGATTGGACACATTGACTGTTTGTAACCAAGAATTTTGATGCGAAGAAAAAAAAAAAAACGACGTGAGTGGAAGACAATCCGAACAGGAAAGCCACAAGCCCTGGATGACGACGACCAGTTAAGTCGGGCGGATCTCTCTCCGATGGACAGAGACTACTAAGCCAGCCAACGGTGTAGGGCGGATCGGTGGGCGCTATTCTTATTAATAGCTTGCCCGGTTGCGTAAAATGCACACAAGGAAAACAAGCCCTTTGTGGGCAGAGTCAGCAATGAAGAGTCAGATACGAGGTGCAGAATGCGGGACGGTGACATGGTCTGCAAGAATTTACAAAGGTCGACACGACTGGACTACAAGGCGTAGCGGTGAGCGCATTCTAGTTTCTTGAGTCAAATTCTGTAGCTCGTATGAGGAATTCATCTTTTTGTATACTTCGCAATATTCTGATTTGTGCGCTTCAACTCTATTCGTCGTAACTAGTGCGGTAGGCAATGATCAGATCATCAATCAATGCTGCTGGTTTGAGAATGGTGTCATGTGACAAGGCATAGAAATCAATATCCTTACAGACAACGCCATCACTCGTAGCAACGCCCGTCGCACGTCCTTCTGAAGTCGAGAAGTAGGATTCGTGGCTTCAAATTAGGCATCCTTCGAACCGGAAGGACGGCTGTCAAGCCTCCCATGCGCCCGCATCTCGTTGGAATTACTAGTTGCAAAAGTCGCCTGTCGAACAATGCGAGGCTTTCTGGTTCTTCAACGAGATCCTCGCCAGCCCTGCAAAGTAATCATTGAAGACCGTTTCGGAGACCGACGTTCTCGCTTCTACCGGCTTAACGCGATGTCGCAGAACCGGCTCGACCGGCTCGACCGGACATATTGCTAGCACTAGGTCGGAAGGAAACACCGCTCCGTGTTGACAGACTTACAATTACGAAATAGCCTCAGTGAAGTGTTCGCTTCCTTTCATCTCCCCTGTGGCGTCCGGAACCGATTTTAGTGCTGAAGATCAGTCCCGGATAACTGGGACAGGAATACCCGAATGAGCAAATCGCACGTGGAAATGCCGTTTTCGTCCACAACCCAGACCTTTACTTTCCTTCACAGGCTCAGATGCTCCGGTCGTCGAGAGCGCGACAAGGGAACCATACCCTTGGCACGTAAATCAGCTGCAACGCAAACAAGGTTTCCTTTGAGCCAAACAGGAAATCAGATGGAGAGGAATAGACTCACTCTCTGACTGTCGCTAAGCCTCTAGCGTCCACAACCTCGGTGACCTCGACACTCGAGCCCTTCTAGAACAAAGTTTTGAGGTTTCATCTTGTCATTTTGCCCTCCGCACTGAGTGGCGTAATCTAAGAGGATAATGGTCGTCCTTCCCCCTCATCTTCTGCTTACGACCGCCGTCTCCTCATCTCCGACGTTGCATCTCTTTTCGCACGTAACGAAAAACCGCCAAACACAAACCAAACCCGCAATCGACCGTATCGGGCCATGTTACAACAACATCTTCAATGATCGTTCTTCTGCGTCCGCACGCACGATGCACCTGCTTTACAAAGCATTGACCAGTGCCTCGATACCTCCGCTACCGCTACCGCCGCGTGATTACGCCGACTCGGCCGAGGATGTCGACACGCACAGCATAGGCGGCGTGATCGTCGCGTCCGTCGTGCCCGCGACGGCGATCTCGACGATGTTTGCTCTGTCGCGGCTGTTCGTGAGGGGATGGATCCAAAAGAAAGTGCACTTTGACGACGGAATTCTTCTGGCTGCGGTGGTATGAATGCTCGTCTTCGTGTTATCGGACATTTTTGGCTGAGTATCACAGATATCGGGATGGACATCGACAGCGACGACATTAAAGGCCGTTGCGATTGGCCACGGGAGGCACGTCGCATCGCTGAGCGACCATCAGAAGGAGGAGATTTTGCACTGGACCGTCATGGCCTTCTCCTTCGGCATTTTTGCTCTGATACTGCCGAAAATCGCCGTGGTCGCTCTCATGAACCGACTCCTTCAACCTAAGAGGGGACAACGCTTATTCCTGTGGGCTCTTGTTGCATTTTGCTCACTAGGCCTGCTTGGAAACGTCCTGGGATTATACACACAATGTTCACCGTCACAAGCTGAGATGTCATTCATGACGAAAGCTTGTCTAGGACCAGATATGGCCGTGGAATATTCAATATCAACAAGTGGTAAGTAAGAAGCTTATTTCATATGGAGACATCGCTAACCTGGCGGCCTCTCAGCGATATCTGCGGCAACAAATGCATATCTCGCAGTTTATGTGGCTTTCTCGATACGCAAGCTTCATTTCGCCAGAAGGAAACTTTTAGGAGTATTGATATCGATAGTGCTGGGCGCTGTGTAAGTGGTTTTTGAATGAGTCTGCAAGAAATATCCAGTTTGCTAACCATGTTTTTCTCAGTGCTTTGATAACTGCAATATTTAAATGCACGAGATTAAAGTCATTAGGTAGCCCTGATTTTACCTGTGAGTGATACTAACGTCGATTGTTTAAGAAAGACTTTGCTGACGCTCTTTCACAGACGACTCCGCTGACCTGGTCATCTGGACGAGTCTTGAAGCCGACGTGGTCATCATCGCTGTGTGCATCCCAGCGATGCAGCCTCTGATCGACCATCTCTTGCCGCATCCGAGCGACGCAAGTACGCTTTCCTCTCACGCCCCGACATCGCCAACATCCTTCACTCCACGCAAGAAGTTATGGAGTATCAGCCACGACCCAGAAGCGGCAAGAGACTGGGACACGGAGATTCAGATCCCAGAGGTGATCATGGTCGAGCGAGAATTTGAGATCAATGTTACAAGAAGTGTACACACATGGACGCCAGACACGAACCCGTCGGCAGTGACGGATGATGAGAAGTTCCGGATAGTGAAGGACCAAAGGCCGGACGGAACTGTCACGACAACGGTGGTTGTGATATCGTCGGCACCGGCCGATGTTACGAGATTCCCGCAAGCTTGAAATACCCCTATGACGATATGATTACGAACATACACAGATAATGAACATAATTATAGATGCGCTCACCTTGATGCCATGCCAATGCCAAGCGCGTGTGAGTGTGAGAGCGAGTGCAAAATGCAGAACAACACCGTTTAATGTCCCGAGGCTCCTAGAGCTCGTGATGGTGTACAACGCGAAACACCACGGGAAACGCCTGGTCCAATTCCCGTGGGATGCCGGGAATGAGCACAGAGCTTTCCGGTCCGCTGGCCGGTTAGTCAACTCCACCTCGCGATCAGCCAAGCCCCACAGTGGCTGAAGTCTTCGTGGCTCAGTCGGTAGAGCGTTGGTCTCATATTACTTCAATATGACTCTGTCTGAAGGCAGAGATATCCAAAGGTCGAGAGTTCGAGCCTCTCCGAGGACATCTTTTTGCTGTCCTCCTGTATTTTTCTGTCGAGGTTGCTACCTAGCTAGATCTCTCTCTATCTCTGAGGATAGTGCCCTCCCGTTCAGAGAACGTCTATCTCCCATCCCACAAATGTTGCTTTCACCTACACTCTAATGCCCTTTAGCCTATTTTACCTTATTCACTTGCTTTCGCTCTCGGATTTCTAGTTTTTACATGTTAATCTCGCGTCCACATGTTCTTATCTTCCTCAAACTAAATCGGGGACCTGCCCGATGGGCACACGCAAGCCTAGAGCAATTGAATCAGCACCCTTGTAGTGTTCGGCACCCTCTCTTCGTCCGTGTTGCAGAGCCTAAAAAATGACGTAAAATCCATGTGGCCAGCCAGCGAACGACAGGCTCAGCGCACCCTCCCTAATGACTCGCGCCCTGAACACACACTTCCATGTCTCTAAGCTTCGAGACATCGAACTAGATAGGCCCGCGGAAAACACCAAGAGCTTCTCTATTGCTATCCAGCGAATTTTCCGAGATGGTGAATGGCAACGAGGCCTCCAAGAGACCGGATAAGACGGGATGCGTGCTAAGGCTCGGTTACGTACAGATGGGGCTACAAACGACCCTCTCCGGTGGCCAAGATTGAGGCTTCGCCATTCCACGTGTCAATTTAATTGGAGCGGTCAAACGCAGCGCGCGTCACGGCTCGGCGCGGGCAACTTCTCCTCTCCCGAACACACGCGACGATGAAGGCATTTTTCGACAAGGCGAAGAGGAAGATCGAGGCGGAGATCGCGGCCATCACCGGCGACGACGACGAGCCCCGACCGGCGCCACCGCCTCCGGTGCCGACGGACAGCCGGCCGCCGTATCAGCAGGGGCCGCCTCAAGAGTTCGAGCGGGCCGTGTTTGCGCATTTCATGGTGAGCAGACTTTCTGCGATTGGAACTTTGAAGGGCTTTTGCTGACACAGCAGCAGTTGAGTAACACCTGCGAGTACACTGTGGATGAGTACAAGGTCGACATCGGCCTGGCCCAAGAGGCGCATATCGATGGCTTCGTTGTCAATTTTGGTATCCACGAAGAGGCGATTGTGAAGCTCCCTGAGTTTTTCTTCGCGGCTGAGCAGACTGGATTCAAGCTGCTCCTGTCGTTCGACTATGAGGGAGCTGGAGCTTGGCCCAAAGAGAGAGTCATTGAGTTGCTGAATCGGGTGAGTGCATTTCAATAAAGCGCTCTCATGCCACATGCTAACGTCCACCAAAGTTTGGACCTTCTCCTGCGTACTTCAAGCGCGGATGGCAGCCAGTTGTTTCCACCTTCGAGGGAACCGGTCACGCTGCCGACTGGCATGACATCAAGGCCGCGACCGGATGTTTCTTCATGCCCTCGTTCTCGTCGATCGGGGCCGAGAACGCCGTGAACACTGGTGTCACCGATGGCCTTTTCAGTTGGGCGGCATGGCCGCACGGCAACACCCGCAAGATGGATCCCGGCTTGGATGCTTCCTACCGTCACTTTTTGGGCAACAGACCGTACATGGTTGCTGTTTCGCCGTGGTTCTACACCAACCTCCCGACCTGGAACAAGAACTGGGCTTGGAAGGGCGATGATCTGTGGAATGACCGCTGGAACGAGATTCTTCAAATAAGACCTGAATATGTGCAGATTGTGAGTATCCTTGGGACAGCGAAAGGTAGTACCTATTCTAATAACGATGGCAGATCTCGTGGAACGACTTCGGCGAGTCCCATTACATCGGACCCCTCCACGAGAAGCAGTTTGGCGCTTTCGAGTACGGCAAGGCGCCATTCAACTACGTCAGAGATATGCCTCACGACGGCTGGCGGCTTCTGCTCCCTTTCCTGATCGACTTGTACAAGAACGGTCATGCCATCATCAACCGGGAGGGGGTAGTGACATGGTACCGCATACACCCCGGCCACGCTGGCGACTGTGGAGGTACCACAGGCAACGCACCGAGTCACGGCCAGGAGTTGCATCATCCGTCGGAGATCATGGAGGACAAAGTCGTGTTCTCCGCACTGCTCACCGGGCCCGCTTCGGTGACAGTGAGCATCGGTGGTGTACCGCAAGAGGCGTCATGGGATGACGATGGAGTACCGAACGGCGGCGTTGGTGTCTACCACGGCAGCGCACCCTTCAACGGTAGACTAGGCGAAGTCGTCGTGACCATTCATAGAGGAGCAGACGTTGTCGCCCAGGTTCATGGCCGGCCTATCACCGAAGAGTGCACAGAAGGTATCAACAACTGGAACGCTTGGGTGGGAGGTTCCCATGCACCGGTTGGTACGCATGCTGTCGCGCATTTGGGATAAACATAAGGCACAGTTGCTTGTTAGCGTCTATTCTAAGCCAGATATCATACAATGTTGCGTACGGCAACCAATGTCACCGTTGAATGGCGCTCTATGTTCACTCAAAGCGAATCCACGATGCCGGGGGCAATAGCTGCCAACTTCTCAAGTAATTCTTCCCATAGCCGCTTTTGAACCTTGATTCCTTCATCACTCGTAATGAACTCCGACGGTCTGTGTTCTGGCAGTTAGTTGAGAACCCAGCAGTGATTTTTCAGAAGGTGATCTGAGCCCTTATCACGTACCTGCCTACTTTGCCGTCATCAAGGTACTGTCCATGCGTTTCTGGTCCGCCTTCAGCAGCCAGAACAAGTGTACGGCTAGCTTCCTCTGGTGCTCTTCCCACCAAGCTAAGCACAACTTTGACAATTTTCCCCTGAAGCCAGCCGAGATTCCGAGTGACTTCCGTGTCAGATAATCCTGGGTTTACCACTGAAACAACGATGTTGCCCAACTTCTCTGACTTGGTGAGGTTTTTCGCGAGCTCTCTGGCGAGCTGAAGCTGGATGACCTTGGAGATGTTGTACCTAAAGTCCTTCAGTTTACTGAATTCGCCGATCTGCGTGGCAGGAACAGTTTACCTCTCAGTCATACGAGCGACTCTCTCCACAGCCAAGTCTTTGAAGATGTGTTCACTCTTGCTCTCGATGAAGTCAACCCTGGCATGGCCGAGTGATCCAACGAAGGTGACGACAGTTTCCTTGTCATATCTCAAGGACGTTTCCCTCATCTTAGGCAATAGCAGAATGCTGAGGAGAAGCGGGCTCACAGCATTGACTGTGATGAGGCTGTCATCCTTTTCTGCTAGTATGAAGTCATAAGTCATGATGCCGGCGTTGTTGACCAAGACATCCAGGCGCTCAAGACTGCGGGCATGCTTGGCGAAAGTCTGGACACTCGCGTAAGAGCTCAGGTCTAGCTCCCAGACTTCCACGACTCCTTTTGTCCCCGTTGATTCCTCTAGGCGGGTTAAAGCTTCCTTGCCCTTTGGTATGCTTCGCACTGCGAGAATGACTTTGGCTGCTTCGAGCAGGATGAAGTGACGTGCGGCTTCAAGGCCTAGGCCGGTGTTGGAACCGGTGACGATGATAGTTTGGCCGGTAAATTTCTTTGTAGGTACTGGGACCTCGGTGAAGAGCTGAGACTGTAGAAATTCAATAACGCTAGGCATTTTTGTACTTGAGAGGCTGTTTTATTCTTGTACCTGAGTGGATTCTTAAGATGGATGTGATAAGAATGTTGTCAACGGTAAGGGATTTGAGGTGGCTCTGTGACAGACGAGGCTGTTGGTGGAAGAAAGCCTCGAGGTGATATTTAATCAAGATGAATCAAAATTTTGACCTTCTGAAAGTGAGTTTTATGTGCGTTTGTGTTATTTTAATACTCTCGTGCCATTTGTTCCAAGCTGGGCGGGTTTCCGCCTCATAATTAAAGGATTCTTGATTAATCATCCTTTGATTAAAACAATAATTCGCGGCACTATTATCTAGATCACGGTTTGCGAATAGATAACAGTCAATCACTTGAAGGGAAATATTTGGATACGTTCTCTCGTTGATTTCTATCCTGTACCATCAACGAGGCAACTAAGACCAAGAGCTGAACATAAGTAAACAGCCGCCACAGACCTACTATACGCGGAGCTCTCAGATCAACATACTTACACATCGACCATCTCATGATACCATGTGTGCATCCGCTCGCAGGAATGGATATCCGATCCCCGACGAGAGAGTCCGTGTGGGCACCGGTGCCTTAGTGCACGGTTGTAAGCCGGCGGCGGAACCCGCATTCATGGCGTCGGCGGAGTCCCGCCGAACCGCGAGAGCTAAAGAGCGGCAGGAAACCGCCGCCATCACGAATGCATATTTCCCCAGAACAGATATCAAACAATATGACGAATCTGTTTCTTTCTTGTCAAGGTATGCCACGTCGTCTAATCTGACATGCGTCTGCGTGGGTGGTGTGCCATCAAGGTTCACCCCCGGGCCCCTCTTCGGCGTGCATGAAGTCTCCAAAAATGTTCCGTGCGACAACTTATAATGACGACGACGTTCTTATTCAGCTACAGGCAACCCTCAGCTTCATCATCCATGGTCTTGAGGTCCTTCGGCTTATTTTCATCCACGATTTCCACGCCTTCCTTGACTTATCCAGCCGTTTTCATTTCCGAAGATGGCGGACGATAACAAAACGCCCTTGGACCACTTCAACGCGGTAGCCGAGTCCTATGAGAAGAGCACTGGTGGCTGCACGAGAGAGCTCGCTGAGAGGCTCGTCCCGTTACTCGATATCGACAATGACTCCGTGGTTCTCGATAACGCATGCGGCACTGGTATTGTCACCGATGTTATAATGCAGAAGTTCAAAAATGGGAAAGGGCCTGTAGTTCACGCTGTCGATGGCGCATCCAAGATGGTTGAGCTCGTGGAAGCTAGGTTCCCGGATTACGACAATGTACGAACAGGTGTCATGCCGGGCGAAGACTTGGACTTCCCCGATGAGTCCTTCACCCACTCAGTCACCAACCTAGGATTCTTGTTTTTTGATGACGCAAAGAAGGGCGCCTCTGAGATTTGGCGCACGCTGAAGCCTGGTGGGATTGCTGTGGTGACCAATTGGGAGGAGCTCGGATACCTTCCAGTCCTCTGGAAGCTTCAGCGCGAGATACGTCCTGAAGAGGAGCCCTTTAGTGTGCCTATCAAACCCGAGTGGTTCAAACCGTCTCATACGGAACAAGTCTTGAGATCTGGTGGGTTTGAACAGGTTGACCTTCAGGAAATGGTTGTGCATTGGGGCGCAGAGAGTTTGGAGGAGGTCTCGTCATCAATCGTCCAGATGTTTGGTCCCGCTGTATTCAAGGATTGGACCGACGAAGAAAAGACGAAAGCAATGGAGATGGTGCCCTTGATACTAAAAGATGCCATTGTGTCTCTAAACAGAAACGGGCAAACATGTGTCGGGGTCACAATGAAAGCAATCGTGGCGATTTGCAAGAAATAAACTGTAAAAACGCAGCTTTTATAGTAGATACCAAAGATCCCCAACCAAGTAACACCAACCCGTCTTTCCCACAACCAACTTCATGCTGAGGCCTACAAAAACCATATCTTGCATTGCATTTCCCACGCACTAAACTCTACTTACACGCATCTGCAGCCCCTCATGGACACGTAAAGCAGGGCTGGGGTTGACCAAGACAATGTCCTTGAGATCGACAGCCATCTCAAACCGAAATTTTGGAAGAACTTCGATCAAAAGCATCTTCATCTCCAACAATGCAAATACCCTGCCAATGCAGGATCGTGGTCCGTACAAGAATGTCGACATCGCATGTGGGTCCGCAGCTGTGCCAGTCAGATTGTCCCATCGCTCAGGTTTGAACTCGTTGACATCTTCACCCCAGATGGTGGGATTCAGGTTGATAATGGTCGGCATCATCATGAAAGAAGTGCCCTTTGGAAAAACTGTCCCACAGATTTCAACATCTTGAATCGATTCTCGAGCTGCCGAAATTCCGGGAGCAAACAGTCGCAGGTTCTCTTCGAGGACGTTATCCAGGTACGGAAGATTTTGAAGGTCCATATAACTGGGATTCGGTGTACGTTCCAACAGGTCTATGATCTCCTTTCGTGCCTTATCTTGAACTTCGGGATGCTGCGCGAACATCTGGGTTAACCACGTCAAGGAGCTGGCAGAGGACTCGTGCCCGGCCGCGAAGAAGTTCAGAACGTTTTCGAGTATCTTAGATTCTGACCAAGGATCCCCCATAGCGCGAGATTCCAAAATCATGTGGGTGAGTAGATCAGGGCTTTCGACGGCGTCGATCGACTTCTCGGACAATTCGGCTTCTCTGTTCCGAATGATCTCGCGTATCTTGTCGCGTACTCTGTCGTTGGCATGTTTGAAACGGTAATTTTCCTTCAAAGGGAATGAACGGATGGCGGGAAAGAAGGCATATATGGCGACGAGGAGCATTCCAAATGGTGGAGGGTCGAAGACCTGCTGATAAAGCTCGTGAAACTCTGATGGCTTCAGGGTGATCTCGAGGTCGAACCCAAGAGCGAAGTTGACAATAACATCAAGAGTTACTTTGGACCACGCAAAAGAAACTGTCAGGTTGAGAATTAGCCTGTGATGCTTGTGGTAAGCTGGTAGAGGGGCCGGTATCCTTCTTACTATTGACAGCATCGCACTGGCTGTCCACCAATTGGTCAAGATATTGGCAGAACTGTTTTCCTTTGCTGCGAAATAATGGCATGGTCTGCTTCATATTGGTCATGGCGAATCGGGCTACAAGACCATAAGGTTAGAGTCTAATGCGACCACACTCGGGAGTAAATCTCGCAAAGATACTCACGGGAGAGTAGCTTCCTCTGTGACCTTGACTCCTCTCCTTCTGTAAAGACCATTCCAACGCCGGTGATAGGGGTGATCATTCTTTTGTTGAACTCCGGCTTGACGAAAGCGTTTGCTTTGGTTTGGAAGATTTCCTTAAAAGCATCTAGCTGTGTCACGAGGATTGCATTCGAGTTCCCGAAGCTAGTGTAGCGAATAAAACGTTCTTTGGGCCAGTTCCTCATCCAAGAGACGAAGGGCTCCCTAGGATCACCGGATAGAAATTGGTTCACAGTCTGTCCGAGCAGAAAGTAGTGATCCTATGAGAGTGTAAGATCTCCGACATGGAGCATCTACCGAGTGCACTCACCTTAGGACCGGGGATGTGTCTTAGAGGCGACACAAAGTAGGGGTAGATGAAGATAGCGTACACAACGACGGCAGAATACCACGCTGCTAGAGATGCAAGAAGAACCCGGGCTATTAGTTGCAGCCATGTCTCCCGCATATAAGGGAACACCGCAGCCGCGGCCAGGGCAGTAATGGCATACCGCCAAGGTGGTTGGGTGGGATTCATCGTGCGTAAGGTAGTTTGGTTGCGCAAGAAACGCGTGGGAAATGAGATGAAAGTGGGATGGGGAAAAAGCAGTCAACCATGGAAATCGCTTGCATTTTAAAGGCAGCCCGCATCGAATGCTCCGAATAGATGGCAAATGGCTGCTTATGCACATGTGCAATGTCACCCATCCTGTAAGATCCGTTGCACTTCCACGCATCTCGACTTATATTAAGTATTCTCATGGCCGATCCCGACGATGTCCGCAACGGGCGTAGGGTAAACCTAAATAGGAAAACGGTTTGTCCAATCAGGGTGACGCCTGGTGGGATGGGATTGGTTGAGATCGATATCACACCAACGAAGTGATCAATCTCACTGCCCCTCTGTGACGAGCACAACTTTGCCATGCGAAACTGTGACGGAAAACTCTTGGATTATTGGTCTTGAGTGAGTAAAGGCGTCGAGAACTCGGCTGGCGGCATATGTGGCTTGCATACATCTCGGAGCTTTCGACCAGACGGGTTGTTGCGCCGCTGAACACACAAGCCTTCTATTCGGCTGGGCAGGCTTTGACAAAAGCCCCATGTTCGTTGGTTGGGACCAGGCGGTCTATTTTGCGGCTTTGCGGTTACGCCCGTTGGAAAGGCCCGGGACGGGGCAGGCAAACATGAGATCGCGGTGTGCAGGGGGGGCATATCACACTTGTTGGTGCGTTGGTTCGTTGGTTGGGGCGAGACCAAGCCTTTCGGCTGTTGAGCGGATGAATCCTTTCTTTTTGCTTAAATACCAGCTTTTCCGTCAACAATGCTCATGAGGCGGAAGGCCTTCTATGCTCGTAAGCCTATCCCGGTAAGTACTTTGGGCAAAGTTGATGAAACGGTCCACGTCCGCAGCGGTTGACATGAAGCCAAACGAGATCCTGACAGCACCAACGGGGGCGATCATCCGGATGTATGTGTCCAACGACTTGCTGTAAACTTTGCTGAGGGACACCAAAGCTGCCTTTTCCAGACCAAACGCCGTCTCACCCGCCCCTGGATTGCAGAAGCATCCCGTTCTGAGTGAAATCTTCTCTGCTGCAGACTCCTTTGCCACGAGTCTCTCATCAACCACTTTTCCAGAGATGTCGAGGAAATTAAAGCACACGGTGCCTCCTCTTGATTCCATGTTTGTTGGTCCATATATCCTAGCCATTGGCGAGCCGTCGCTGTGCTCCATCCTGTGCAGCTGATCAAGGCACCATCCAGTCAGGCACCTGACCCTTGTGTCGATGAGGAACATCCCAACATCATCCAACCAATCCAAGCCAACCTGAACGTCAGGTATCGATAAGAAGTTTAGGGTGCCATCCTCAAAGCCCGCTTCGTCAGGGGCAATGGTGTGCCAAGGAACACCAACAGTCGCAGCAGTGATTGTGCCGCCGGAAAACCAAGGCCGCGAGTTGGCCAGCCGAGCCAATGCATCGCGTCGGACGATGAGACAGCCAACGCCGGTGGGGTACCCAAACAGCTTGTACCAGCTGACAATCACAAACTCTGGCTTGACACCAGTATCTGATAGATTGAGTCGGGACGTCGGCAAATACGCCGCGGCATCCAGTAGTACGTCATATCCCTGTTCCTGTGCGACCTGAACCCAGGAGAGCGGGTGTCGAACGCCACTGAAGTTGCTCTGAGCTGGATAGGCAAACAAGCCACTGCGCCGCGTGCGTGCCGATCCACACGAGAAAAGGCCTCCCTTGCGACGGCTGAGTGCTGACATGAGGTCCGACGGGTCGACCCGCAGCTCCGGGGCTCGGACCGGCACGTAGACCGTTCGCGCGTGGTTTCGGCCGGCGTATTCTCGGAGGCCGTTGACGGAGTTGTGGTTATCCGACGTCAACACCAGCTTTGTCCCTCTCTTGAATGGGTATGATTCTGCAACGAGACGTGCGGCGCCGGTTGCATTCGGAGTGAAGATGGCGGTGTATTCTTTGGGCGAGGCGTTGAGATAGTCCAGCACCCGAGCTCTGGCATCTTCGATCAGTCGCGTGGCAGACTGGCTTGTAGGGTTTGTTGAGTGGGGATTGCCGAAGAGTGTTTGCCCTAAGCGTTTCTCGTGTGCTCGAACTTGGGACTTCGCAGCCAGGCCAGCGCCGGTGAAGTCAAGATAGAGGTGGCCCTGCTCGTCGAGGTAGCCATATTCGGTCGCCCGCACTTCATCTAGCCGTGAAGTCTGGCTGTACTCAGGGTAAGCGTCTGTGATGCTTTTCATACTGGATGAGATGCGTTAAGTAGTGTCTGTGTGAGGTGAGAATGCGAGGTGAGAAATCGCACCGAAGAGGAAAGAACGGGTACTGAGTAGAGTAGGGAATCAAGGGAGGACCCGTGCAATTGGGTGCCCAAGATCCCCTAGATTATATGAAGAACGATTTGAGGTGGCAACACGACTTTAGCTGCATGCCAGAGGGGAATCCTTCCGCTAATCGTCCGAACGCCTTCGGCGGCAGATACCTAGGTAGCTCGTAAAATGTCTTCACCCCCTTCACTGCTCAAAAGAACCAAATTCACTGCCTGAGGGGTTGCATCGTAGGACGAACCGGGCCATCGGGGGCCGATTGTGTCTGTAACAAGTGACTCGGTCACGCCTTTTCCAAAACGTATCATGCTATGGTTGGCTGGATGAGATAGACCGGTGTTGAAGTTTCCATACAGTAATTCAAGATGCATCCTCACTTCCTTGTCAGGTTGTGTAGCCCCCTCTCGTAAGTACTAAACAGTGTTAGGCGCGGTGCATGCATCTCAGTAAAATGGATCTTTGTGATCATGCACTTGAGTAAACTTTGGCCGCGGCTGGGGTAGATGGTCGTGTGCATCCCAGATTAGCACGTCGAGTTTTCCATGGAGCTGCTGTAACCCAGGTCCCAAGATAGAGGGACCGATGTCACGACAGTGGAGTATCGGCATCATGTCTCGAGCTATAAGATGACGGGCTGAAGTGAAGGATTGTGGGTGTAGCCGACTGCGCCGTGCGGGTGATGGCAGATGGGCTCTGCAGATCAAGACCTGCATCAAGGGGGTGGGATGGAAGCAAGGCATACACACCACACCTCGTTCCTCGAGTTAGACGCAAGGGTGGACTCCCCGGATCACGAACCGAGAGACTATCTTCGCCCAGTCATCATTCTATCTTGAATGCTAACATTGCACCCAGTCCGGCGAACCTTTCGGGCGACATTTCGTTTCACAAGGACGTAGGACAGCTGACATTTCATAGTAAGACATGGCCATTTCATCCGCTTCCAGAACATGCGACGCAGAAACTTTCCATGCTCCAACGGAGAGGGTCGAACTCCGCTGGTGTATTGGGCTTCCTTTTTAGGACTCGTACCAGTTCGCCCTATGAGCGTACAGAAACGCAAAAGCTGCAGCCTGGCCAGCCTGGAACTCCCCATGCATGCATCATGGATATGCCCGGCTGTGTTGAAGTGGGCCTTTCCAAGACACTATCACCTGCGCGCAGACCGGACGGCAAGATTCCGTCCTCTGATCGCTCAAAAGACGTGAGGACTGACGCTTCATCACAGATGCCACACTGCCGCCTTCAGGGTTTTTACTCCGCCCGGACATCACGTTCACAAGTCCCTATTTTTCATCCAGTGTGCGTGAGCCAGTGAGTATGTAATCGTCCTGAGGTGGTGTGTAAGACGCATGCCAGTGGATGCCCGCCTTCAGCTGCATGGGGATTGGTGCAAAGTCGCTTGACCAGGGCCGTTGATTGGATGTCTCATCACTTTATTTTCGAGCCACAGCGAGGAACGTAAACATCCAGCCTCGAATCATTGGTTTGACGTAGCACTGGGGCACAGCTTACTCTTCTAGCCCATTTCGAGCCATATTGACTCGCAAATCAACCGAATCAGAGAGGGGAATTAAGCCAAGAAGATGCACTGGAGTGTCACACTCTACGAATTGCTGCTATTGGCCTTGGAGGGGTGCTATCCACGGGCAACATTTGGCCCTTGGTCACAGCATTAGTAATTGGATCACTGTCTAGTTCAACCCGACCATCCTCGGCGTTGTGCACGCACTTGACGCGTCAGTAGTGCCTGTGATATATGCAACTACCCGTCGGGTTTCGAGTCTCCAGTCTCGGTGTACGGGAAATTTAGCACGGTGTTCTCGAGACACCATAATGCCGCAGAGGGGTTCACCCCAGGACAACAAGCAGATTGAGAGTCTGGCCCTCGAGCGATTTCCGGCACGCTATGTCACACGGCTAGGCTAATTGAGGGCCAGTTCAAGCTCGTCGGGAGACCCAACGGCGGGAATTTCGAACGGCGCGTGCCACGTCAATTAGCGTTGATCGGGGCTGAGTTTAAGACAGCATAAAGTCGGCTCGACCGATCAACGCTCATAGCCTCATTTCATCCACGTGGAAAGCTTCACCTTAATCTCAACGCTTACTTTGAACACCAAGCGCACCTTGAATTAGCCTACTATTCGAGACTACATCATATACGTCCGTAACATCCAGACTCTTCAGCCCCAGGAGCTAGTATCGGAGCTGAAGCTTTCTGGATTTGCTCGCTGGTGTTATCATCAACGTGTCCATCGCACAAATGACGGACCTGACCACGGCGAACTCTCTTATTGCTTTCCCAAGTTCCGAGGGGGGTCGGTGGGAGGTCCATCGGGTGTCACGTAGGCCTTTGTGAGTCCACCATCCACAACCAGGTCATGAGCGTTGACAAAGCTACTCTCGTCGCTGGCCAGGAAAACAGCAGCTTGTGCTTGCTCGATAGCCTCCCCAAATCGGCCCGTTGGGAAGTGAACCTCTCGTCTGAATCGCTTTTCTTTGTCCTCACCCAGAAAGTCCTGAAGCATCGGAGTACTATGTCGTGTTAGAATAGCAACCAAACAGCTGAGGTATTCATGTAATAATGCTTACTTCAGAGGTGCTGGACAAATGGTATTAAAGCGGAAGCCTGTACATGGGAGTACCATTAGCTGGCGATAGCATCACACGGTGCAGGGGTCGTGGTACTCACCATCTCTAGCGTGCACAATTGCCATCTCTCTCGTGAAAGCCATAACAGCACCCTTACTGGCAGTGTATGCCACTTGAGGAGTTGCGGATCCGACAATGGACACCATGCTGGCAGTGTTGATGATGCTGCCCTTCTTCTTGCCATGCTTACGCAGAGACCTGACGGCGTATTTGCTTCCGTACCAGACTCCCTTAACATTGATGTCAAACGTCTTGTCCCAGATGTCGGCAGGACACTCTTCGGCGTCACCATCTCTCGGATGCATGATGCCTGCGTTGTTGAAGATGACGTCCAGGCCACCCCAGCTATCCAAGTGAGCAACTGCTTTCTCTACCTCGGACTCCGTCGACACGTCAACGATGAGTGATTCAAGATGTCCTTTGGCGTTAGGTACGAGCTCCTTAACACGGGCTAGTGCCTTATTCAAGACTGTCTGGTTGATATCGGTCATCAGAACCGAAGCACCCTCCTTGTACATGAGAATCGAGGCTTCGAGGCCAATGCCACTGCCATGCACTTGTCAGTTGGTTTTACCAGGAGTAGAAAGACGATGGGAGAAATTTGACACACCCTGCGGCACCCGTAATTACAATATTCTTCCCTTCGAGTCTGCCTGACATGATGCTATGATTCTTATACGACTGGGCAGGTCGGACTAGAAAACGCTGAGGGCTGAAAAGAGAACGGAGTTTCGGGCTACTTCTGGCGGATTGATGTCTAATGAGCTCTCACTGATAAAAAGCATTCTCATCAGGCCTTTATGTAGCTTGTGCCCTTCAGATTGATCGCATCTGAATGTCGCCAGCCGTGACGAAACTACTTTCCGGTGGATGTGCGGAAACCCGAGCCCATGTCCCTTGCGCGGGGCTCTTCGAACGCCATCGGCGGCTTCCCGATCAAAGCTCCGACTACTGGGGTGTTGAGATATGTTTGCTTATCAGATGGCTCTGACGCCGACGTGGGGGTTCCGGACCGCGGTCGTCCCGAATCTCCGTTCTTTCAGAAGAGACCGCGCTGTGCATTGATGCCGAACACTCAAGGCCTCATATGGTTAGTGATACCATGGTCATAATGTTGGCCCAGCTGATGGTGCCTTGCATACCTGATTCACAGTGGCCTTAATGCAAACATTATCTTATCCGCAAATCGCCGCATAATTATCCATCGGGAGAATCTCTTATGACCAAGGACCCATATACTTGCAAATTTCTGGGTTAACGTCAACGATGCTGATTGAAGCTTGAGGATTTGGCTTAGGGCTGGGATAAGGTTTCGTCATTTGAGTGGTACAGAGGCCTAAAGCTGAATACTACCTATGGAAGAACTACATATTACATCTAGCCTCTAAGCCTGCTGCTGCTTCACATGATAGCTCTTCAACTTGACGAAGAAATCAAACCCCTTCGGCCCCAAAGTGCATCCAAGCCCCGACTTTTTCCAACCAGTCCAAGCAAGATCCTGCAGCACATATTAGCACCTTGTTTCCAATCTCACGCACTTAAAACCTACTGGATTGGGGTAATCACAACGATTGACAAACACGGTGCCAGCCTCGAGACTCTCAATCATCTCCTCTCCACGAGGGATGTCCGTGGTCCAAACGCTGGCAGTCAGGCCATAGTCCGTGTCGTTCATGAGTTGAATTGCCTCATCGTCGTTCTGGACACATATCACAGGGATGATTGGGCCAAAAGTCTCCTCCTTCGCGATTATCATGTCATGTGTGACGCCTGTGAGAATCCGCGGGATTACATAGTTGCCGTCAGCGGAAGGGTTCTGAAATGTGGCATTGAACGGCGTGGCATCACGGGCGCCCTTGGTGAGTGCATCTTCGACTTGTTGTTCAATCGACTTCTGGGCAGCTCGTGAGATGACGGGTCCAACGTTAGTTGATGCATCAAGCGGATCGCCGAGTTTATACCTGGGTTTTGTCAGCGGGGATGCACCAGTCAGATTCTCTACCAGACTTACATCTTCAACTCATCTTGCAGCTCTTGGACAAAAGCATCATGGATGTCTTTATGCACGTAAATCCGCTCCACAGCGCAGCAACTTTGACCCGAATTGAAGACAGCGCCATCCACAAGCTGAGCCGCTACATATTTCAAGTCCGCGTCGGACCGCACGTATGCTGGATCATTCCCTCCAAGCTCAAGGTTGAGAGGTATCGTGCGACGGGCCGCGGCTTCACGCAAAGCCAACCCTCCCGCAGTCGAGCCGGTGAAGCTAACCGCTTGTATCTCGGGGATCCTCACAAGTTCGTTGAGAACGGCAGGATCTCCGGACTGGACTACCTGGAGGACGTTCGTAGGCAGACCAGCTTCGGCAAATATCTCGGCGATTCGCGTGCCGACTAAAGGTGTTTGCGGCGACGGCTTCAAGATGACCGTATTTCCAGCTAGGAGTGCTGGAACGAGCGCGTTCACGATGATGAGGTACGGGAACTGGGAAGGGTTTTGGTCAACTACACCGGAGTTTCCGACCGTTCATAGAATATTGACATACGTTCCATGCGAATACCACGAGAGTCGGGCCAACTGGGACCTTCTTGATCCATCTCTTGAACCCTGCCTCGGGACGACCGGGTATATCACGCAAGGCTTCTTCGGCGATGTCGAGAAGGTAGTCGGCACGCTTCTGCATCGTCTCAATTTCCTTATGACTGTACGCAATAGGGCGACCCATTTGCTCACTGAGTTCGCGTCCGAGGTCATGCTTGCGTTCTTGGATGAGCTTTAGGCCTCGCATCACCATCTCCTTCCTCTCCGCCAGAGACAGCAGCTTGAACTTTTGGAAGGCATCCTGAGAAGATTTGGCGATGGCCTTCGCGTCTTCGAGACTCGTACTGGGAGTGTTGAAAAGAACCTTGTTGGTTGACGGAGAGATCGTTTGAATGGTCGTGGTAGACATTATGGAAGAAGTACGGCTCGGATCTGAGGGAGAACGATTGGTGATACCCAGAACAGAAAATGGTTATCGGAAGTTTATGGTAAGCATCACCGTAACTTTGGGAGTTGATGCATTGAGGCCTGTAAGTCCTGATTTAAAGCTTATCGGCACGCATAGCCTCGCCATATCATTGAGGGCGAGTGAAATCGGCTGAACCGGTGGTTACCGAGCTGTAGGGACATCTTCAGACCGTTGCCGCGATAAGAGAATGTTGTCGGTATCATGAGCCCCGATCGGGCCAAGGTTTGCCGTCTCCGACTCGGTCACGGAGGTTCATCGCTAAGGCCGACAGTATTCACGGGTCACCACAATCTCACCGCTCTCCAAACATGGTGCTGCTCAGCAATGATGGAGTGATGAGCGCGATGGCACTATGGGAAACCGCGCTATCGCGGTCTCGGACCGCGCCGCCCGATCGCCCTGCATCAAGTCCCCCGCACATAACGGACATCGGGGCTTCGGGGTCGGATCATAGCCGGCCGGGTGAAACGATCACTTCAACAACTTCCAGTCTGCAAGCCAATGTTACTGGGCGGCAAGTCTGGATCCATAGAGCAGGCGACATCCATGAGAGCTCGATCAGAAGGAAGACTTTGTACCGGCCCCTTTCTACTCCTTGACAACTGAAAAGAGTCAAGAACACCCCCTTGATCTCCAACTGCACCTTGACATCATCCTCTGCACGCCATATACCTCCCATCAACAGCAATGGACCAACAGTCACAAGCCACATTATGCACCCTCCGAAGCGATACACACGCCAGCACTATCGCAACCGTGGACAACATCGAGGCTATTTTAGCAAACGATGAAAAGGCCAGGGTCGCAGGAGTTGATGCCGACGGTATCCTTCGAGGCAAGATCATGGACAAGGAGAAGTTCTTGTCCACTATTTCCAGCGGATTCGGCATGAGTTCTGCCATCTTTGCATGGGATATCCACGATGTTTTATTCACGACAGAGACGAAGATCGCAACAAGCGAAGACGGATTTGCCGATTTTGTTGCTTACCCCGACCTGTCATCCTTCCGGAGACTCCCCACAGAGGACAATATCCCTTTCTTCCTTTTAAGCTTTGCTGTGGGTGGCAAACCGGTCTTCGCTTGCCCACGTAGCATGATTCGTCAACTTTGTGATAAGTTAGCAGAAGCAGAGTGCAAAGCCCTTGCCGGAGGTACGTAACTCATCGCACGTTCCATTGACCTTACGCTTTTCTACAGTAGGGCGGCAGCCAAAGAACTGACGTTGAGAAGTGGAGCTCGAGTTCATGAACTTTCAGACACCGTCAGAAGACGGATATAGATCGCCACAGGATAGACAAAACCTGTCCATGTTCTTGGAGAAAAACACACCTTCGGCCTTGCGTCCTCTTACAGGCGGCATGTTTGGCTATAGCACATCACGGCCGATAGCCTCGAAGAAGTACTTCCATGACATATTCGATTTCAACAAAAGAGCAAACTGCGGCTTAGAAGGCTGGCACACGGAGAGCGGTCCCGGCGTCTACGAGGCTGTAAGTCGCTCCGTATCATTTGGTGAATAAGTTCAGCTCTTGAATGTTGTGTTGACTGTAATCCGCGCTCTCAGGCTCTAAAGGTCAGCCCAATCGACGAGATGGCAGACAAAGTTTCTATTTTCAAGTGAGTCAAGCTTATGTTGAGGCTGTCGAACTTGCGACTAATACCAGCAGACTGATCACCAAATCGCTCGGAATGGAACACGGCGTGACGCCTTGCTTTCTCGCCAAGCCGACCCAAGGCCTACCTGGCAACTCTGGGCATATCCATGTGTCTCTTACTAATCTAGACGGAAAGAACATCTTGGCTCGGTCGGGTCCCCCTGATCAAACAGCCGCATGGCCAGACATCGCACATCTATCTGACGTTGGTCGATATTTCCTCGCCGGGATCCTCGTAGCTATGCCAGATATCATGCCACTTTTAGCACCGTCGATCAACTCTTACAAGCGCTTGGTGGAGAACTATTGGGCCCCTGTAGATGTCAGCTGGGGCCTGGAAGACCGCCTTGCCAGTGTGCGCCTAATTGCGCCTCCGGTATGCAAACCAGCGGCGACAAGATTTGAAGTGCGCATCCCAGGAGCCGATCTGCATCCTCACTACGCTCTGACAGCGATCGTGGCTGCGGGCTGGCGAGGTTTTATGAAGAAGCTGGACATACCCATCCCGCCCGCGAAGATCCAACGAAAAGACACAAAGCCAGAGTTGCTTCCTGACTCCCTCCTTGAGGCAACACACAGATTCAAGGCACGTGATAGTTTGGCCAGAGAGATCCTTGGAGATGATTTTGTGGATTTCTTTGCTGCTACGAGAGAACATGAGCTGCGTATGTGGAGGGAAGCAGTCACTGATTGGTGAGACCTCTTTCTGAAGCTGTGGGATGAGACTGACCATCACAGGGAGTTTCGACGGTACATCGAAGTAGCCTGATGGGGATAATAGGGCTGATTGGAAGAGGAGCTGAGAGAGGGTTGCCTAGGCCAAGTACCAATTGTAACATTCATCTACCTATTTGGTCTGCAGAAAGGTATGGCTCACTCAGCCTTGTATACGGAGATCTAGATTTTAGAGAAGATTTCGCATCGGGTTCCCCTGCCTCGCTCCTCAATGGAACCATTTCTATGCTAGTGTCACCCAGCCGTGTAGTCAAACAGCCTCTGCAAACCATTGCATCCGCGTTTCCGCGCGTTGCTGCGGACCCAGCCGCCAGTTGGAACAGTTTCCAGGCTGCTTGAAGGAATACCAGATCAGCCAACAAAATGGCCAAGAACATCACTCCGGGACTTTTTTGCTGAGGCACCGAACAAAGGTACTCGGCCATGATAGTGGCATCCTTGCATAACAGAGGACCTGTTCTTGACCGGAACTTCGCATATGTCTCATTCAATGGAGTAAGACCGATATCGCCGCCGCGGCCAAGTATTGCACCCGGGGCTGGGATTTCATTGAAACGACTTGGGTTCAAGCCGCCAATGGTTGCTGAGTCGTTGAGAAGGCCTCCCTCTCTTCGAAATTTGTTGTCTGGGGCCATGATCGCATACTGAAGCCCGTCCTCATCTAGGAGAATGTTTGAGGCGTTGCAGTTGCCAAGATCCATGGCAAACAGGGAGTGCATGATTCTCCCGTAATGCAGACCTTCTGCAAAAGGTGCCGCAACGAAAAACTAACTTATTATTAGGCCTTCCTCTTTTAGGCAGTCTGAGAAAAAGTCCCTGAGTCGGACTTACGTCTGAGTCGTAGCCAGTGTCCCCCAGATCTTGCATCCCGCTATGCAAAATTTGGGCCTTGGAAAAGGCCAGCCACCACTGAAGGTCGAAGAAGCTATTTGAGCGAATACTGTGGGCAAGTTAGCAAATTCGAGACTCATGTGTTCCCGATATAACCAACTCCTTGATCGTTCTATTTGCAGTAAAGGAGAGCTGAGCAGAGGTGAGGTATTGATCATGCCCAACAACGACTTGAGAGGTCGCAGTCAAAACGCCACCAAAGTAGGCGTTCGAAAGCCGACTCCCCCACCACACGCTGGAACGGGTTTCGTAATCATCATCGAGTACGTAGTCGTAGATAACGTCACTTTCGCCCGAATATTCAGCGTCGATGGTGACATCTACAAGACCAGAGTCGGAAATCACAACACAGCGAAGGCTGGCTGCTACTGTCGAACGCCCCCATGATAGCCACCATGAAGGCGGCTGAGCGTTATCGCTTTTGATGAGATTGATCTTGAGTGTATCGAGATGACAGTCTTCGAGAGTCGTATTCCTGTAGCCGATGGCAGGTATATTTGCGAGATGGTCCATCACGCGCTCGGTATCGGTCTGCCGAGGCTTGATGCTTTTGACTTTGTAGTTAAATCCGAGATTAGAAGTGAAGAAAGAGCTCCCAACCGTCAGCAAGTGAGGCTGACATTCAGCGTTCATATCGTTCTGCCAGTTGAAAGGCCGTTTCTGAAACCATCTGTAACAGTAGTTTGTAATTAGTCGGAGGAATACGCCCTTTGAGATATCAAATAGTACCTCGAATGGAATGATGCTTCGGTTTCGTTAAGGCTTTCGGTGTATATGGTCTTGAGGTAAAAGCCGTTGGAGCTGAAATTGACTAGGGAGAACACCACTGCCAAGACGAGCCCACCACCGATGGCCGCGGGTGTGAACCATCGAAAGGGATACGGCCTTGTGATAGGATACTCGAACCAAGATGAATGCATGTTGAACTGCGAGTCGCACATTCACCTCATAACGCGTGAAAATAGTGAAATCATGAGTGAGCAACTATGATCAAGATCTCTCACTACTGTTCTCTTCTTATGGTGCGTCAGCAAATTGCTGTGCCGCTGTAGCGAAGTTTCTTAGGCAGAAGTAAGCCTAATTCTTTCGTTGCATTGTGTCCACAAGGGAGCCTGTTTCCGCGAATCACCAAGGACCTCAGACAAGGTTGAGTAAACACTAGAGCTGACTGCAGATGTAGCGTGTGATCAAAACTCAGCCCTTGCCGCGAACAGGGGTCTGAACCAGCACGATGTTAAAATTAGACATCAATTTAGATTTTGACTGTCCCCACAAGCTTCAAATGTGACAAAAGCTTTGCAAATATCTCATATTTTAAGTAAACATGGTGTGAAATGAAAGGGCAGTCCAATAGCACCCTACAACTTTGACTACTACGTGGGACTTAACGGTCCCAGAGTAGCGCTAGATGTTACGACCTGTAAACAAGGATAGCAGCTGCAGGACCCACCAAGTTATTAGGTAGCTAGGATAGGATATTTATACTACAGGATCATAGGAATAATAAGGACTTACTTAGAAATAGAAGAACTATAGTATAAGTTATATAATAGTAAAGAATAAGTATAGATAAAGGATCTATAATAAGTACTTAGTAAATATTAAAATAAGTACTTATTTTACTTTAGAATAAGTACTTATAGTAATAAGGAGAATAGTACTTATAGATAACTAAACTATTTAGGAAAGGATTTATATATAGTATAATTTAAGCTTAGTTTATAATTAGACTTCTATAGCTCTTTAGTAATTAACTTTATATTTATCTTTATAAATACTTTTAGCTTACTTTTACTATAAATTACTTATTAAGTTTAAAACTAATTACTTTAGTTTCTAAAGACTTAATCTATTATAACTTATAACTTATAATTTAAACTATAACTTAGTATATTATTAGAATATATTAATCCCTAGCTTCTATTAGTAGACCTTATTATTAGATAGCTAACTATAACACTTTAATTACTCTTATTTAGTAAGTTAACTATTAATACCTATTAAATAATATAAATAAGATATTTTTTTATATTTCTACTAAGTTACTTACTTTAAGCTCCTCTACTAAATAAGTAACCTATAACCTAGCTTAAGAACTTAGTAATTATAAAATAAAAGAAAACTTAGAGGAAGATAATAATAATAAAGAACTTAAATAATAGTTAGATAAAGCTAATAGTAATATTAAGTAGATATAAAGTATATTTAATAAAAGCGCTTAAGCTATTAATAAGCTTTAGGAAGCCTTCTAATAAGTTATTTAGTAAGTAGCTAAACTAGAGGGTAAAAATTAAACCTTCTAAGCTACTACTAATATTATTACTATACTTATAGGGGGATAATAGAAACTTAAGCTTAGTATACTTATTACTTATAATAGAACCCCTAAAACTTTTAAAAGATTTTTAATTTAAGTTAAGAACTATTAAAACTTTTATTATAGAGATTTTACTAACTAAACTGAGAAAGTAGTTTATATAGCTACCTATTTATATAGAAGAGCCCTTAAATAGTTTAAACCTATCTAAGAGGAATTCCTTAAATATAAAATACTAAATAAGTGCTTTATAGAAACCTATAATATCTATAGTAGTTTTAAAAGATTTAAAGATACCTTATACTCTCTCTTCTAAGATCCTAATAAGAAATAATAAGTAGAAAGGGAACTAATATAACTATAATAAACTAAATCTACTAAAGAGTATATTACTATATTTAGATAACTTAGTATCTAACTTAACTTTACTAAAGAAACTAAGATCTTTATATTCTATTAAGAATTTAAGGATAAAGTTAAGGATAAGATTATTAAGATTAACTACCTTAAGGACTTCTTTTAATATACTAACCTTACTATTAAGATTAATAATTAACTTTTTAAACGCTATAAAGAGAAAGGTGAAAGATAATAAGGACTAAACTTTAAATATAAATATTAATAGTAACCTTAATAGAAGTTTATTAATTACTAATAGAATGATAATAAACCTTATAATAACTAGAATAATACCTAATAAAGTATATCTTATAGTTAGTATAATAAACTTATAGATCTTAGTGTAGCCTAAAAGACTAATAACTAGAAAAATAGTATTAGAAGAAATAATAATTAGAAAAAGGATAAGTAATACTTTAACTATAACTAAAAAGGATATCTTATATATAAATATATAGCCTCTAAGAAAGAATAATAATAGCTAGTACTTAAGTAAACTAAGTAGGTTAGTATAATAACTAAGATACCTTATATATTCCTATTATAGACTAAATACTATAATAATAAGTATTTTACCTACTATAGCGATAAGGAAGCCTTAAGATATTAGCTTAGTAACTTAGACTATAGATAAACTAGTTATAATATAATTATCCCTAAAGTTAAAACTAAAACCTTAGTAATAGCCTTCTGATCTAATAATAAGCTAGCTAGGAAAACTACTAAATAACTAGATAAAATACTTTATATCTAATAACTTAAGATAATTAACCTAAACTTTATAAGTTATAATAAGTAGATATAATAAATAGTTTAAGCCTTAGAAGCTTAAGTTTAATAAGAAATAAACTAAATCTATTAGCATAAAATAAGGTAATAAATTATAGATAATAATAAATAATAAATCTTACGCCTTAAAGTAGCCTAAACGCTATAGTTATAATAAGCTTAATAAGAACTAAATAATTATATTTAGCACTAATAAATTAATACCCTAACTATATATCTCAAATAATACTAAAACGCACGCAGAAACCCTACTAAGATTAAACAAATTAACTAAGAACTTAAAGAATAAATTAGAAAAGAATCTAATAAAGAACTTAAATACTAATATAACTTATTAGAAGAATAGCAGCTATACAGCCTAACTAATAGTTAGAACTTTAGTAAACTAAAATCTAATTTTAACTTAGATAGGATTCTTTATAACTCTGATTCCCCTACTAATATAGCTAATTAGAACGTAAAATATTATAATAAATTAATCCTAAAAAATATAAAATTAAAAGAAAAAACCTATAATAAGGATAAGATTAAGTAAATTTTAACCTATAAGAATATTAATATACTATTAGACTAATAGAGATAATATTTCTATAGAGTATTAGCTATATAACGTAATAAGGACTATATACTATAAATATATATAGAAGACTACTTAATACTTTACCTCTAATATAGTTATAAGAACCTCTTCTAGCTATAGTATATATTTAATAAGTATAAAGAACACTTAGGGGATAAATATAACTATTAGTTCTACTTCTAAAAGTATAATAATAACCTTATTAAAAATATATATACTACGCATACTATAATTAGATAGAATATAATAACTTTTAATAGAGGAATTACTACCTTCTAATTAAGCTTATAATACCTTATAAGATACTAATATAATAATACTATAAAATAGAAAGAATACTGAAAAGATAAATACCTTATATATATAACATAGAAGGCTAAGGCCTATTAACTCCTATAAGAAGGATTAAGTTCCTTAAGACTTTAATTTTAGGAAAATCACCTTATAAAGGTATAATAAGAAGGAAAATATATTACCTATCTAAGATAACTAAAGTAGTTAAAAAACTAAACTTACTTACTAATAAAAGACTAAGATAGGTACTAATAATAAAGTCTATATATCTAGTATCTTTAGACTAAAAAGTATACCTATAGTTAATAGTTATTATTAATAATACTATAACTATTACGCTTATTAATAGTAAAGCTAAGATAAATTTTATATTACCTTAAGCAGTAAATAGATTATAACTATTATAGTAAAAGAAGAAACACCTATACTAGCTAAGTAATATAGAAAGAGAATAAGTCTAATATAAAGGAAGTACTATTAATAATAAGACTATACCCCTTAAGATAAGTTACTTAGATTAAAATAAATAACTCTAATTTAATATTACTAAACTTAATATATATAATATTATATTAGGAATATTATAGCTTAAGAAGAATAACTTATAGATAGATTAAAAAATAAGCTAACTCTATTAGGATAATAATAATCTAATTACTAAGTAGTATTATAGATACTAAGCCTTAAATAGATTTACTAACTATAGAGCAGCAAAATAATACCTCTACTACTTTAAAGCAAAAGAAGCTATATTACTACTATTAATAATAGCAGATCTTAATTAAAAGGATAATCTACTTCTATCTATCTTAGAAGAGTATAAAGTTTATAAGAAACTCTTTATAGCTAAACTAGAAACTAAACTGCTTAAGTATATTAGTTTTAACTATAAAATTCCTCTTAAAGAAGGAAAAAAACTATAATTTAATAAAATCTATAAACTAAACTAAATAGAAATAAAAGCCCTAAATAAATACCTTAATATTGAGGAAGTTTTAAGCCTACCTAGTAGGGGTTTTCACAGTAGGGGAAAAAGCAGTAAAAGCACCTCAGTTAGTGCCCAGTCCAGTAGCTTCGCAGTATACGTACCTAAGGGTCCGGAATAACTGCCCGCGCCGACCCCAACTCGCCCGTATACAAGCGAAAGCATCTGGGCCAGACGTACATACTATTGTGGCTGTTAGCCTCATTGACGATGGCTTCGTTGCTAGCAAGGTTAACAGCCTCGCTTGCGTGACTCACGCTGCGAGCGAGACACATACCAGAGATAGCTTCACAAGGTCTTTAGCTACAGAAAAGCTTGTCTTAGCTATATACTTAAGATGCTGCTCACGCTAAGCCTTAAGCCTATTCCTCACTAAGTAAACCACCTAGATTCCTATACCTTCACAATATATTCTATTCTACCTAATCTATAGGATCTTATACTACAAGGCTTTGCCTAAAGCATACCTTAAGACACTAAGATTAATACTAACTATAGGGCTAAGCTTATAGTAATTAGTAAGATAATACCCTTTAATATATAGAGCCTTAGGGAC